GATGCCTGACATAGCCCCTTTGTTTTTGTCTTTGTCTTTCTTGTAGTTGTCTTTAAGATCCTTTGCGTACTGATATCTTGTATTTTTGTTGACTTTATCGCTTCATTTCCCTTAATTTTCCATTATTTTGCATTAATGTTTAGGTCATTAGATGCAAATTTGCAGTGCATTTTTTACTTTTAGGTTCTTGGAATGGACAATACAAAACCTAACATAATGAAAACATAAAGCGACCAAACAAAATTCAAACTAAAACTAAACTCGAACTCAAAATGGGTACATAAACCCAAATGTTTGAATCGAAACTGGGCTTAATAATGGCTTGGGCCAACACAGAAAAAAACAAATCAGGTGTACTACTGTTTTCTCTCATGTGAACCATATGAAAGTTCCTCATAAGATAAGCAATGTGCAGATCTGTCAATGAGGTACTAGTTAGGTAAGAATTTTCATGCATTTGGTGTCTATATTATAGTAATTGGCGTTTACAATGTATGACATTTTCTAAAAGAATTTTGATTTTATTCAAAATTTTCTGTTTAGAATTGATAAATTGTTACCAATGTCATGGAAAGGTTAGCACTCGATGCACATGTTCATATTACTTTTTAAGATTTATGTTTCTAATATAGGTTACGAGGCAATAGTTTAAAATATATCAATCGTAGCAAAATTGTTATTATCATCAAATGATTGGGTGTATTCCATGTTTTCATGATAATGTTTTTAACTTTTCATATTATTAATTACAGTTTTTCTTTTGTAACGAATTCAATTTACATTTTAATAATATTTGTCATTTGTGAAAGATAGTTACCAATTTCGTTTGAAGTGTTTTTAAGTTTTAACACAAACAATTGAGAGAAAAAAAACACTCATTTGGGCTTTTAATGGCTCATTTGTGCATTGTACTTGGTTTCCTATTAATTCACAAAGTATACGATTTAACTTCTTTTTTTTTTGGCACAAACATTTGTTTTTTCGGTCATGCACAAAACACATCGCATTCCACGTTGCCACAGATTTGTTGACTAATGACTACTTTTTTTTTTTTGCCAATGAACAACATTCGATGTTATCGTTAAGCCTAACAGTTGTCTGTTATACCCAAATCTAACGAACGTGTAAGGATCTCCAATCATGTTTTCTTATATTAAATTTTTCATTTTCTAGGTTTGTATGTTTACTACTTGGTTGCTAGAGAACGGAGTAACAAACCTATAAGGTAACATCACTTTGGTTATCATAAAAGTCGTCGTATTTGGTTAGTTTTGTTTGCACTAGTTCAACAGTTAGTTGATTTATGATGTTTGGTCGGTCCCAGTTTCAAGAATTAGCTGTAACAAGAAAAAATTATTAAAAAAAATTAAAGGTAACAAAAGTCATTATTTATGTAATTTTTTCCGTGTCATTTATAATATACCCAAAAAAATAATGCTGTGGAGTTATAGACGGCAGAGCGAGCCGACCAACTATTGCACTCATCAACAGTGTACCAAACCTCTTACTATATTAGAGAAACAAATAAAATTATGCTTTTAGTGGAAGATCAACCATATGATCTAGAAAACAGATTTAGAATTTGATCTATGCTATATATAATTATTATGCTGATATTTGTTTTAATAGTTATTCCAAAAAACATATTGTAATGTAATGTATGAAGAGGATTACTTACAAAAGACAACTTTTTTCATTTCCTTAAAAAGGATATATGCTTCTAATTTAATCTATTGTTTAACAGTTTAAATAGAATAAGAATCCAAATTTGCAATATTGTTTTCATTATATATTAATAAATAACTCTTGTGCGGCAAAATTTAAATCACAGGTCATTTTGTATTTACATTATTTCTAATAAAATAGTTTGATAAGAGTGAAAATTAAGAACAATATTTTATACATTTTCCTGAAATATTCAATAAAATGTAAATAAGTCAAAATATTAACTTTTATTTTTTAGTGATAAAATTTTTTGCTCTTATTGAAAGTTGAAACACAATGAATGAAAATAGTATAAAAATATAAAACCAATAGTTCATTACAATATTCATAACCAAGTCAGGAAAAATCAATGTGACTACTTGAAGTTTTGTTCCCATAGAGTGTAATGTATATTACTGTCAAAAAAAAAAAAAAACTGTAATGTATATTTCAACATGGGTTATAATATTTATTTCCCACATAAATTGAATTTTCCTACCAAAGTCGTAGAGCGCAATTTATATATAAAATCCTTTATTCATAATTTCATAGGCTGGCGCGCATGCTTTCTCTTAGTTAAGTCATAAGTAACACCAACAAGAAAAATGGTACACCAAATTCCATCATATTATTCTCACAAAGTCAAGGTTTAGACATTAAATTTTTTATTTTTATATCAATATGATGGAAAGAAAAGCATGCTTGTTGGTGTAGTGTAGGTGTGTGGAAAAAACAACACATAGACATCGCTTGATTGGTTCGATGTTGGCCGTAATATGTCCCATCCTTTTTTCTCTTAAGATGTGACAATGGTGTGTTTAATGTAAATTTTCTTAATTGCATCGCTGGTTTTGATTTTAATTTTGAAAAGAAACACGAATATTTGGTGATCAACATTAACCTATACAGTAGAAGTAAGACCTCTAACCACTTAAAGTAATTAGATCACAACTCCAATAATTCGTATGGATTTTGAATTCTCCACATCCAAAATAATGAATTTAAAATCAGATACAGTATATCATTCATTATAAAACTTTGTCATACATAAATGACATGGTTTCTAGTTTCTATTCTTGGAGGACCTCAAATATACTATAACAAGAAAAATTGCGTTTAAATTAACAGAACCAGAAACATTGCGTTTATGGTAAGATTTTATAACAAATTAATATGTGTTCGAATGAAATAGAGTAGACTAAATTGTCAACTCTGTAGCCCCACTACAGATGAGACATTGATTGAGATCCATCACACACCTTCTTGTCTCCTTAAAATCTATATGTAAACAGTATTAACTATTTACTTGATGTAAATGTAAATTCTTTTATAGGGAGGACGACTCTCGATTTCTGTTTGATTTTTGGGAGTTTTTGGTGTTGTACTCTTATTATACTCTTATATAATTAATTATTCCAGTGTATTTTTTTTATTATTCCAGTGTTACTTGATATAAGACTTGTTTGGATTAAGTTTAAGCAAAAACTTTTTAGAATGTTTTAAATTTCTAGGTTTGATTTTAGACACAATAGTTATCAGAAATACTATGAGTGGACACAAGACAAATATTCGTTATTTTAGTGATAATTGATTTAATTGACACTTGACCTGCTTTGTACAAATAGTAAAAATTATGTTATAAAATTTTATGTATTTGTTATAAACCCTACTTGGCTTGTTATATACAAGTACTCGTAATTTTCTGTATTTGCTATAAAAAAATTTACTTGCAAATTACTTGCCCCTTTGCCCCATCATATTTGTAACAATTCTTTTAGTGTCACCTTTTTTTTGCTGTTACGGTTTTCAAACTTTAGGGTGCAATCGATTAGTGAACATCTATCTATAGAGTGATTGAGAGGGAAAAAAGGTGATAAATAGAGTAAAACTAAGAAGTTCTTTGTACTTGTATATTGAGTTAATAAAAATCTCCTATTTTTTTCCTCTTACATACTTTTTTTTTACTGAAAATTTTTAGGGATTATTGTTAATTTTGCCCTTTTTTATCAAAATCTTTTGAAAATGCCATTTTCATTAAAATCTTACGGATTTGCCATTTTTTTACACTTAAAAATGTACGTATTTCGGATTTTTTTTGGTAAAAATACGTAGTTTATACAAAATACTAAACCCTAAGAACAACCACAACCGACTAAACCCAATCATAACGAATAAAACGCATGTTAAATCATATTTCCGTAGCATGAAAAAAGGCAAAATCCATAAACTATTCAAAAAATGGCAAAATCCACAAATGCCATCCCAAAAAATGGCAAATCCATAATTGATTCAAATTTTTATCCACCATTTGTTTTTACTCCAACCGACACGACTAATCAGATATTTTAATATTTAACTAAAGAATAAATTAAACCATATATATACACATGTAGGTGTGTGTATAAAAGACAAAATGTAAATGTTGATTTGGTGTATGATATGTCTTATTCATAAGTCTCAATGAAGACAGTCCTTAATCTAGGGTTAGGTGGTGGCTGCTCACCTTCCTCTATTCCTTTTCTTTTTCTATCTTCTTTCACATCCATCTTTCTCTTTAATTAAGACTATCTCGCACATCTGTTTTTTTTTTTTCAGAAATATATACTTTGATCGACAGACCAATAGTTCTAACTGATCTAGTTTATTATGATAATCTAAAAAAATTAGTAGAGTCCAAGAAGACCAGACCAATTATCTTTAGTTTGGTTACTATCTAATTGGATGATTCATAAACTAGTCAAGTGCCATATACTTACATTATATTGTTTAGCATGTTAGAATTTATACATAACTCTAGATAATAAATATTAATTTCACATACTATCGTTTTCATATTAAGTGTTTAACATATAAGAATTCATACGTGTGAAATTATATAACTATGATAGAAAAATATATTAACATAATCATACTTGAATTTAGTGGAGATACTAAAACTAAGACCAAAAACACAGTAGAAGACCAAAAACACAGTAGAAAGAACAGAGGCAAATAAAATCATACAAAAGGTCAACTATAAAAAAAAAATTAAGAAATGTAATATAAATTAATTTAGTTAATTTATTAAATAAGAGCTCATACGAGAAATATGTAATTTCAAAACAATAATCTTACCTGAAATCAGTAAACAAAAAGTTTTTTTAAAAAATTGTAGAAAGGACAGAGAGATTAAAAACAAAAGGTCTAATATAATTTCAAAAAAAACAAATTAAAGTTGTCAAAATTGTAATTTAAAATTAAATTAGGTAAATCAAATCAGTCCCCACAAATACATTAAAAAAACTCTATTAAAGACCAATATAAGAGAGAGTACATGAGAGTCCAAACTTCATTCAATTCAAGTCTCAGTTCCAAGAATATAAACAAAGATTTTGTATATTCATTTAAGGAGATGAAGTCAATCTTAGCCAACACTTCTCTCGATTCTTCATTCTCTCTCTCAAAACGTTACTTCAATTGGAAGAAGAAGAAAGTTCAAGAAGACGACGACGAGGAAGAGGAAGAAGAAGAAGACGATTACAACAACAACGAAGAGAAAATCTTGACCCGTTTCAATTTCTCCTCTGACCCGACCCGACCGGATCAATTCAATACTCAACACATAATGAAGAAAAAAAAGAAAAAGACTATTGAAAAGATCCGTTACGCTCTCGGGTTCTCTAACTCGGGTCTGGGTTTCCGGGTCGTGGGTACTTTATTCGGTAACCGTCGTGGACACGTGTACTTCGCCGTACAAGATGACCCGACCCGTTTACCCGCGGTGTTGATCCAGTTACCAACTCCAACGAGCGTTCTTGTCCGTGAGATGGCTTCGGGGCTAGTGAGAATCGCGCTCGAAACGGCGGCGTATAAGACGGATTCGAAGAAGAAGCTTTTAGAAGAGTCCACGTGGAGAACGTATTGTAACGGTAAAAAATGTGGTTACGCGGCGAGGAAAGAGTGTGGAGAAGCGGAGTGGAAGGTGTTGAAGGCGGTTGGGCCCATAACAATGGGTGCTGGAGTTTTACCGGCGACGACGACAGTGGATGAAGAAGGGAATGGAGCGGTTGGGTCCGAAAAAGGTGAGCTCATGTACATGAGAGCCCGGTTCGAGCGGGTTATCGGGTCGAGAGACTCGGAGGCGTTTTATATGATGAATCCTGATGTGTCAAGTGGTGGACCTGAGCTTAGTGTGTATTTTCTAAGGGTTTAAGTGGAAAAATGATAAGATTAGTATATGATTAAGAAGGTATTAATTGACCATTTTAAGAATGTGTTTTGATTTTTGGCTTTTGTTTAAATGATGTTCAACGTGTACTATTGGAATTATCTTAATGATGTTCCAAAAGATTAGTGACAAAAGGTGATGAAATCGTTATTTAGAAGCAATGTATTATGATAAATCCATATTTCTTTAACTTTGATAATAGTATAATACTAGATTATGTTCCTAAAGAAAAAAGTGACACAATGATGAAAAATGTCAGGAATACTTTTATTATTGGGCCAAACTCAAAGTAGCCCAACTTACACGAATGGAATCAGGCCGTACAATTCACTTATCATATCCCAGTGGATTAGGATTTAAGCAATTGGATCTAATTTTTACTGGGATTAGGCAAACAATGTGATCCAGTTTCAGATCAGCTAATCTGAAAAAAAGAGAGAAAGAAACAAAACCCTAAAAGCGGATCTAAATCTATTTGGCCGCCGGAAAATGCCTGAAAAAAAGAAGAAGAAGGAAAGCATCGATAATGCCGAAAAAAAAAGAAGAAGGAAAGAATCGAAAATGGAGAAAACTTTCGTCATGATCAAGCCCGATGGTGTCCAGAGGCGACTAGTACGTTTCCTATTGGTCCTCATGTGTTTCAGTTATTTTGCGTTGTTCTTTGCTTTGGTTGACAAAGATTACATATATGTTTCAGATGCCTGAAATCATCAGAAGGTTTGAAGAGAAGCGTTTCACTTTGAAGGGTATAATTGATTCCAAACTTAAGCAGTGATTTAATTGAGTCAACTGAGTGGTATGAGTGGGGATGTACAGGCATGAAGATGATGAGTGTTGAGAGAGATTTGGCAGAGAAGCACTACGAGGAGCTGTCTGGCAAGCACGTATTCGGGCGTCTGGTTGATTACATTGTGTCGTCCGGTCCTGTTGTTGCAATGATATGGGAGGGTGAGAATGTTGTGGAGACAGTGAAAGAGATGATTGGACCCACAAGACCATCAGACTGCGAGTCTGCAACCATCCGTCGGGAATTTGGTATTGACAAGATCAGGAACGTGATCCATGGGAGTTACTCTGTCGAGATTGCAAACAAGGAGATTGCATTGTGGTTCCCAGAAGGACCTCTCGTCTGGGACAACAAAATCAACAATCATTGGTACAAGTTCGATTGTTGATCCCATGACCGGCAAAGACCAAACAAACTGGTCCAATCTAAACCAAACCATTTTAGAGAGAGAGAGAAAACGGCGGAGATATTTATACGGTGAAAGTGACGGACTCGTCATTGGAGCCAAGAGACAAATACAAAGCCTAACAAACTGGTGAAGATTTGAATCTCGTTTTATTAGGTGAGGTAGGAGCTGATGATGACTCCAAACGACGCCATTTTGCTTTACTACAATATTATATTGGTCCGAACTAAACCAAGCCCAATAAGTGATCGAATTTGTCTGATCGAACCAGCTTAATACGGTGGATAACAAATCAGTGTTATTTACATTTTTTTTTAAAACTCTAGTATATTACTGCTTAGAGCTTGCGAATAGAAATTGTCTTGTTCATTATCAATTTGAATTTTTTGTTCCCATAACAAATAATGAAAGATATTACTATATATATTTATATATATACTATATATATTTATATATATATATATATATACGTATAACTTTCCAACCGAGATATTACAAATGTGAATGAACTCAATACAGGCATATTAAAAAAAAAAAAAAAAAACCAAAACCTCATTAAATACAACTTCAAGAATCTTTCTAAATACAATTTCATGATTGTCAAAAAAAATCAAAGCAAATTCTAAGAGATTGAAATGAAACCAAAAGATAAAATTCAGTTAGTGTTTGAGATTATTCACCACAGAATTATGCCTCATGGAAGGTCCCGAAGGTGGTACAAGTACTCTTTTAGAAAATGAATGGAACACACGACCTTTGAATCTAAAACCCCCAATGATCTCTTCTTGTCTTGATCTTGTTTGAACTTTATCCGTTTCAGAAAGCTTAATCGGTCCGATCCTTGCCGTGGCGTTGTATGAACCAAAAACCAAGAGGAAAACAATATAAAGAGTCATAAACATGGTTTTATGAGAAAGATTCATATAATGTTCGGAGAAATAAGAAGAATAAGGAGGAGGAGACAATAATTTAGCTACTAGCTAGGGTTTTTATAAATTTTGGATTTTAAGAAGGCGGTTTAAGTTTTGAGATGTATATATATGCGTATATATAGACCTATATATATATATTTATGTAAATGATTTAGGTATCATGTATGATAGTATGCACATTCTTGTATGAGTAAATTGGTCAAACAAGAAAAGCAAAAGAAAAATAGACAAGTGAAGCGCAAGTAATGGAATTTTAGTATTTTTTTGATAATATTTAAGGTCAACGATACTACGATATAGTGAATAAAAAAACAACAAATTAATTTTTATTAAACTTGAAATGCCGCGTTGGACTTTACGTGGGACGATGGTGTACGTGTGATTATCACTAGTTGTCTGTCAAAATTTAATCATCAAACATTATTATTATTATATTGTGTAAAATATCATTTAATTATCAATTATATGTGTAAAATCCATATTTTTGTAAGAGAATCACGTTGTTATATGTAGACTTTGTATATTGTATACACATTATAATGTGTTAACAAAAGAACAATACGTGATTGTTTTTGTTTAGTCCAAAGTTAGATGCCAATGACTACCAAATCATTTGCGTCTTCGATTTTGAAAGAAAAGTAAATTCTATTTTCCTTTCTTAATTTCTTGTATACAAGCTTTGTAATGATCTCTTGAGAAAGGCTTACGTAAATAGTTTTAAGTTAATCACCATAGGCCACAAACTGTTACAAGTTTTTTTAAATATATTATTTCCGTTATTAGGGGTCACCAAACAATTAATTTATCATATTAATTAAATTATTCACCTGCAAATTATTTGTGGCACCTAATATTTAAATTATTTATCAGCACATAATTTTGTTCTGTTATAACAACTAACATTTCGTCCAACAAAAGTGCTTTTTTCATAGGTTAGTGTACATAATTGTATTAGTATACATTAATATGAGTATATATATGACAGGTGACAACTTTCACGTAGTAGACGAAAATGTCAAACTTTGCACACGCATGATACGTTGGATATTGATCGTCGACTCGAGACAGATATTCGTCTGGACCACTAGATTACGAGATTTTAATATGTTTGCATAATTATAGGTAATAGCATATGATTTCTTCAGAATTATTCTAGAAAATTTAAAGTGGTCTATACTTATACTCCAGCTCCTTTTTTAAAAGTGCCAATAATCTATTTGAAACGTGTAATGCTTTTGACCATTTATTAAGATTTGTGTTAGTTCAAGTGGACAATTTTTTAGTTTATTTACTCAAGATTTATAACAAGAATATACATATTTAAAAATTGTGTTAATCAATCATGATACAACCATAATATTCAACAATAATCAAGTGCATGAATGCAATGGCAAGGACTTCTTTTCAGTTGATTTTCTCCAGATTTATATAACCAAAAATATACACAATACAAAATGAGTAATTTGCTGTATATAATTAATTTACCGAAAAAATACAGTGACATTTTCGTATATAAAAGGTTTTTTATTTTATTACGCATGATTTTTTCTAAAGAGTGTGTCAAAGAATAAAATAACATAAAATATTTCAAAATCACGTATAAATCTACACTATTTTGAAAAATCACAAACGAATATGAATAAGAATATTTACCAAAATAGCATCCAGCGATTTTGCATTAAAAAAAAAAAAAAAAACCATGCTCATTTAGTGGTGGTATCATTATTAAAAATGTGTTAATCAATCATGATATCTCTATATTAGCAAAAGAGAAGTACACATGAGAAAATTGACCTTCAGTTTTTCGTAGTAATTACTTCAAATGCCATTTTGAGGAAATTAGTACTAATTATTTCATTAAGGGTAGATTAGGGTTAAAATTAGTCAAAGAGAAACGAGTTGGTGCAAATTAAATTGACCCATACATATGCACTCGGATCTTCTAATTTCCATTTGATCTAAAAATCTCATTAAACAATTTTTTTTATAACTTTAATTCAAAAACGATAACTCTAACCTAATATATTTACATTAACTATTTTGATACTAGATATTGTTAAGATTTCTCATCTGATCACCTTTGTTTAATCCTACTTTTATAAACATTTAAATCATTCCATAATCAATATATTAATTAAAATTTTAAAATTTCTTTCACACATACTATGATTTAAATTATTAAAAACAGATATAAATTACTCAATCGATGAATAAAAAATAAGTATACCAAAACAACGGACCTAATATCGTTATTCGACTATACTATATCAATCTGCTATGTTACATATGATACTCCAAAACAACCAAACTAAAACAGATTTGACACTCCTAATTAAATTGTTATATTTAAAAAAAAGTGTTTAAAAAATATACGCATCACACCATTATGTCCTAAGCTAAACTAGTCTATTATATTATGGATATCAAGACGGGAAAATAACGATACGGAACAGAAACGGATAATTCGGGTAATAATAAAATTTATACAAACTATTTTAGATAACGAGACAAAATTGGCAAATTAGTAAAGTAGTTAGCCTACAGCTTTATGCCCTAAATTTTTCAAGGTCCCTTCTCTCCGCCGGCTGATAGCCCCCATCGACAGTAAACGATGTACTACACCAACGAAATAACGTCGGTGTGGTGGGACGTGAACAGCTCTCCAGTTCCAGATGGGTATGATGCTGGTCGGGTCGGTCCGTGTATCAAAAAGATGTTAGTGGATTTAGGCCATATTGGTCCAGTCACCATCACTGCCACTGGCGACTTTAGAGGTACCCCTGAACACGTCCTGCGAGCTCTCTCTTCCTCTGGAATCATTATTAAAAACGTCGGCAACGGTTAGTTAAATCTTCTTCTCTCTTTTCTATAATTGTAGTACAAGTTAGGGTTTTTGCTATTGAGTTATATATCTTTCCATAATTGTAGTACAAGTTAGGGTTTTGCTATATTGAGTTGCTTCATTTTTCTTGAACAGGTCCCAAAGACCTTTTTACGTACTTTCTATCTTGGACAATAGATAATCCAGCTCCGGCTACAGTAATGATCATTGCCCATTACCAAGATTTAGCTTACATGGATCGCAGTCTCCAATCGTTAAATAAGGAAGGGTACACCTTTGTCAAGGTATATGCTCACCCTATTGCCACTTGCACTGTTTCAGGCCCTTTAGGGTTATACTGGGGAAAGGTACTTTCGGGATCTGTGGATAATAAACCGGAGACAAGAAGACAGTTTCTCCTGGACAAGTGCAGTGAAACGAGTGAAACAAAGGATGAATCTGCCTGTTTTTTTTGCTTACTATGCTATTTTTCCGGCAAAAGCGTTGAAAGTTTCACTGCTCATCTCTCTAGTGAAGAACATGCACAGGAAGTAAGCATCCTCTCTTCTTATATCAATACATCTGTCCATTTGATTCAACAGCCTCTTGTCGATACCAAATTTGACCCCATGTTATCCTTTGCCCACTGGTCTCAAGCAGGAGTTAGATAATGTTTCTGTGGGTTTACCCAAAGGCATGAAGATAATTCGAGGCCGAGCTGTTTGGGTGAAGGAGCAACCAAAGACTTTGGCTGATTCCAAAAAAGCGAAGAATAGGTTGAAGAAGTTGAAGAGGAAGAGGAAGTTGAAGATGACGAGTACCAAGAAGAAGTTTAAGTTCTTCTCTTTCATATGGTAAATTATTTGTTCTACTTGTAGCGGTTGGGTTTGGCTTATACTACTTATGCTTATGTTGAATGCTCATAAGACTTTGGTTGATGCTAATAAACTGAAGAAAAAGATGAAGAAGACGAAGAAGAAGTTGAAGAAGTTGAAGAAGAGGAGTACCAAATGAGCATATAGAGACCAAGAAGAAGAAGAAGAGTACGTACGTACGTGTCCCCATGGGATGGTTAATGCTTTGTTCTACTTGTAGGCTGTAGCGGTTGGGTTATAATATTGCAAGAACATAAATATATAAACTGCTAAACTATATTGAGCATCTACATTTATATTATAAAAGAATTGGAGTAAAATTACAATATTGATAATTCATTACTTCAAAACCAAGCATGAAAATAAACACAAAAAAGAGCCCTGGTATGGTTAGGGTACATTGGCTAACGATGGAGGAACAAAGCTTGAACCTTTAAGAGTCTGCTCAAATATGTGACCCACTTTCAGCAATTTCTCCTAAAAACAATTAACAAATCATCATTTGAAGTTTAATCTAATCTTTAGAGTAAGCAAAGAGACAGAGTTTATAACAAACCTCATCAAACGCTGCACCGATCATTTGAAGACCAACAGGAAGACCCGAGGGACCGCCTTCGACTAATCCACATGGTAATACCATTGCAGGAAGTCCTGCAAGATTCACATTGACCTGCAACAAACCTCATATGATACAAACAATTTGTTTCGTGTAACGACGATTATAGAGAGAATGAAACTAAGAAACATTTATACCGTCATAATGTCTCCAGCATACATTGCCAGTGGATCATCTTTCTTTTCACCAATCTTGTATGCAGCAGATGGAGCTGCCGGAGAAATAAGGATATCGTTCTGTTCTAACGCTGCTTTGAAGTCTTTTCGAATTAGTGTTCTCACCTATATGACAAACAAAAGAGAAGTATATATCTATCGATCAAGATCGGTTATAATTTCTAGTGACTGCATTTGAAGATGCGGCTTACCTGTTGAGCTCGCTTGTAGTAAGCATCGTAGTAACCCGCAGAGAGTGCATATGTCCCCATTAAAATTCTCATTTTCACCTTAAGAAATCAAAATTCTCTCTGATCATAATCAAACACTTGTTGATTAAATCAGATGGAGTAATTTCTGAAATCATACCTCTCCTCCAAATCCTTCTCCACGGGAACATTCATACAGCTTATTGAGTTCTTCAGCCATAACTTGATTTCCATATCTTCATTTCCAATACAAGAAACAATATCATTTTATACATGCCTGATGCAATCATATTGTGAGTCAAGTCGTAATACCGAGATTACCTGACACCATCATAACGTGATAAATTCGAAGATGACTCCGATGAGGCAATAACGTAGTAAGCTGGTAGTCCAAGAGAGAATGAAGGAAGGGAGACCTGTAAATTTTGACAACAAATCTCAGAAACTAAAAGAACACACAAAACGAAAAAGAAAAACCGAGACAAAGGAATTAATGAAAAAAAACCTCTGTCAATACACAACCCAATGCTTCTAAGTGAGACGCAGCTTCCTGAGTAGCAGATCTCACTCCAGAATCAACACCGTCTTCGAGTGTCTCGCGAATTATACCAACTTTCACTCCATTCAATGGTTTAGACTCAAAATGATCCATAGATAGAAACTGAGATTGGAACTCAGGCACATCCTGAACAAAGAAAATATGTTTCTGTTTTCAAAGAAAAGATCTTTCGTTCATTACAATGCAGGAAACCAACTACAACAAGAGACCTTACTTGTTTGCTACTCGTGGAGTCAAACCTATCATACCCAGAAATAGCATGAAGAAGCATCCCAGCATCAGCAACCGTAGAACCAAAACACCCAATCACATCCAATGACGATGCATAAGCCATAAGTCCAAACCTAGAAACACGCCCATAAGTTGGCTTAAAACCAACAACACCACAAAACGAAGCTGGCTGTCTCACACTTCCACCAGTATCACTACCAAGTGACACCATACACTGTCTTGCTGCAACAGCTGCTGCTGATCCTCCCGATGAACCTCCCGGTACACGACTCAAATCCCACGGATTCGCAGTTACCTTTAAACCAAAACCAACCCCAAGATTCAATCCTAAACCATCACAAGTCTCCCTAACAACACCATATTCATCTATCTAAACATAAAGGCTCCAACTTTATCAACATTCCTGAATCATTCAATCCTAAACCATCACAAGCTTCCCTAACAACACCATATTCATCTATCTAAACATAAGTCTCCAACTTTGTAAACAATCATCACAAGATTCATAAGACAAACCTGAAAAGCAGAAGCTTCAGTAGTACTTCCCATTCCAAATTCATCCATATTAGTCTTACCAACAACAATCCCACCCAACTCTTTAATCTTCTTAACCGCCGTCGCATCGAACGGAGGACGATAATGCTCCAAGATTCTCGAAGCAGCAGTAGAAGGCATACCTTGAGTACAAATATTATCCTTAACGCCGATCAAAACTCCGGCGAGAGGACCCAATTCTTCACCTTTAGCAATTCGTTGATCAATCTCTTGAGCATCTTTGAGAACATTCTCAGATACGTGAAGGAAGCATTTCAGCTGAGGTTCAGTGAGACGGATACGAGAAAGGTAAGATTTTGCGATTTCGACAGCTGTGGTTTCGCCGGAGAGGAGAGAACGACGAGTGGTGAGAATCTGAGATTGTGGAGGAGAGATAACGGAGGTCGTCGAAGAAGCTGCAGATACAATGGTTTTGGAGTTTCGGAGTCGGCGGAGAGGGAGGAGAGATAGAGAACGCGGCGGTTGCAATGTCGATAACATTGCTTCACACAAATCAAAGTTTTGATTTTGAATCACTGAATCATCAAATTGGGGAGATACTGAGTTCAAAATTAAAATTGGGTACTGGAGTTATAAGTTAAAGAAGGGTGAATTCTCCGGTGTAACGCCGGAGAAAATGTTTCGGCGGCGAAAATTTGCGGCGAGGAAGGAGAGAGGATAAGACTTTTTTCAGTGTTTAGTTACTAATCTGTTCAAAAAAATGGAGAGAGGATTTATTAGTGGGCCGAAATTAAATGGGTATATAGATTAAAGCCCAACAAAAGTTTTTTTTACCGTTAAAGCCCAATAAAAGTTAAGGTTGCGATGGTGTAGAACAAAGTGTGTTATAAGTTTATAAATCTTTGATATACTGTATACCGGCTGCGATTTTGAATCGCAGGATGTTGTTCGTTTAGCAATCGCGCGACTGGTCGCTGCGACTAATCGTTATTTAAAAAGTCGCATCGCTAATTTTTCCTACGATTAAAAAAATCAGTCGCAAGTGACAGCGATTGATAGCGCGATTAGTCGCAGGCCAATCGAAGAGCACCATACTCTTTGCAATGCTCTTGATCGAACTAGCCCGTCAATGTTATTCGTATGACGTAAAAATTGAAAAATATTTTAAAATATGACGAACTTATGTCAAAATTTATCATCATTGGTTATTTGTACTTTCCTTTGTTGACATGTTTTTAGACATGTATTAGTCATTAGACATGTATTAAGGATACGACACTAAACAAAAGAGCTCGATATAATAATTTGCAAATTGAGTAAATAAACAAAATCAATCAAATCAAGCCGATAAAGTGTCAAAAACTTGTACGGAAATTAATAATTACAGGGACATTGACTATATATAAATTACTTTACGGGAAAAAAAGTGAAGAAAAAAAGTGAAAAAAAAAAGAGCCAAGAAATAAGGACTGCAGGAACATTCAACTCTTGGCCAGAGGGTTGAGTTAATAAATTGTTCAAGAAAACCAAACTCATTACTAACTTTACTATTTAATCCGTACGGCTCATTGTAACTTGCAAGAATCATTTACTAAATATCATCATTGTTTTGAATTCCAAGAAAACCTCTTTGCATTTAATTCATTTAGAAGAAAAATATAAGTTTCTTTTTAATGTTGATTCACAAGTTTGTGGATAAGATAGTAAAAAAAGATGAAAAGAATAAAAGATAGTAAGAAACTATAAGATATATGATAAAATGAAAATATTTATATATTCAGTTTTTAGAAGGATATCATAGACATCAATTACAATTTTCATAATTCTGTAGTTAATACTTTCTCCGTTTTAAATTACTTGTCGTTTAATTTAAGGTGTTTGCACAAGAACTAAGAAAACAGTAAAATTTTCTACGTTACCTTTGTTTAATTTATTCTCTAATTTTTTTTATTGGTAAAGACATTATAACAATGATGATAAAATTTGAATTTTTACCAAACATCTGCATTGAAAATTTAAAACGACAACTATTATGTAACAAAATTTAAGTGTTAAAACGACAAATAAATTAAAACGGGGAGTAAAATTTTGAAGAAAAGCTTGTATTTATTCTGTTATTCCTATTTAACATAGAGAAAAAGAGAGTTTTGGAGAATTGATTTTCTTTAGTATTTAACTCAACTCAATATAACTCCGTAAAAGATTACTAATTGGAAAAAGAAAAAACTTGTCAAACATAATTCAGACACGAATTCGACATTTGTTTTGTCTACAAACAAAATTCGATATCTAATGTCGCTATAATCTTTTACATAACAATTACATTTTTTTGCTTTTGTCTTAGTAGTAAATACAGTGAAAAGTACATAAGCCGTCACCTATGAACATCTAATAATGACTTATGGAGTTATGGAGACAGAGCCTATGAAAGCAACAAAAGAAAGAGTAAAAATAGCTATAAATGATCGTAAAAAGCTAACTGCAAAGTTAAAAAAAAAAAAAAAAAGTAAAAAAAAGAAGATTTTTTCAGTCTATACTAAAAAGTAAAAACCCCTAACTGTCTCATCTTTAATTGAACATCAGTATCTACTTTTAAAATTCATTAAACAAAAATTATTTATAAAAAGAAATTGAAAAAAATAAAAGAGTCATTAAATTCTCTATACGAAGTCAGAAAATTCCAGGCAGTACAAGGCTTTGTTTGGTTTGGTTTGTATTGTCTGTTTGAAACCAATGACAGAGCCTGAGACACCAAAGTTAGCTATCTTTGGATATATGCTTAAATGCTTTGCATGTTTATATAAAGCATTTCACATTTATAGTCTGATAAATTGATGAGAGTAAGAACACAAAGGTGTTTAGGAAGAATTAGAATAGACTCTCATAAGAATAAAGTTATAAATTACATTCTCTTATATAGAGATGAGATTTCCTAATCTAAGATAAATATAAATGTAAATAATATATTTAAAGATAATGTTAAACTTCCTAAACTTAAGATAAGATAACTTCTAGATCCTTCATGATCTTCATGATTTCCATAATCTTGGGCGATCATCTCGACCGTCGATCTCGGTCGATCTCCGGTTCCTCCAATACCCCCCGGCAAGCTCATACGTGGTAACACGTGTGAGATTGGACACATCTTCAGAATAACGGCTTTATACCCGGCCGTCGGGTCATCATCGACGTTTATACCCGATCGTAGGGTTCAAAGCGGCTACAATACCCAGCCGTTAGGTCATCGACGTTTATACCCGATCGTAGGGTTCAAAGCGGCTACAAAACTCAGCCGTTGGGTCATCGACGTTTATACCCGATCGTAGGGTTCAAGTAATAGAAAATAATACCCGCGATTGCGAGGTTTGGAAGTCACTCGCGTGAATGCGAGGTTCGGATGTAGCTCGCGATGGCGAGACTAAAAAAAAAAAAATAACTCACGAGGGCGAGTAGTTTAATCAAAAGGAGAAGTTAAACTCGCGAGGGCGAGAAAACATCACTGTTCCCAAAACTGATTTTTTTTCTTTTTTTTTTCTTTGCGGAAGCTAACGTAACGGATCCAAAATCCACAGAAAGGATCTTGTCTCTGATACCATGATAAATTGATGAGAGTAAGAACACAAAGGTGTTTAGGAAGAATTATAATAGACTCTCATAAGAATAAAGTTATAAATTACATTCTCTTATATAGAGATGAGATTTCCTAATCTAAGATAAATATAAATGTAAATAATATATTTAAAGATAATGTTAAACTTCCTAAACTTAAGATAAGATAACTTCTAGATCCTTCATGATCTTCATGATTTCCATAATCTTGGGCGATCATCTCGACCGTCGATCTCGGTCGATCTCCGGTTCCTCCAATATAGTCACAACCATATGTTTAAAACCTAAACTTATATTGTCTATAGAGTTTAGTTTACACTTTATACGATTAAAATGCCAATTTAGGATCGTGAAAACATTTAGCACAATTTATCGTGGTCATGTAACGTAATATCTATACTTGTTAATTACTATAAGTTTGGTGGTTGAACAAAAAAAAACTTTAAAAAAATACTAAACAAACTAACAAGAAAAATCATTGGAGTTCCTAAAATTTGTTTGTTTCTCTCTGTCCGAAATATGTTAGTTATAAAAGGAAATTACATTACAAACATATACAAATATTTAGATTAAGACAGATGGAAAAGAAACTAGACTTGTTACATCCAAAAGGATTTAATTTTCTTCTCTTTAAGCAAACACCGACATCAAAATCTATCAATACTATTAACCATCAAACAAAAAGTTAACAAACTAACAAATTCAATAATAATATAATAGAAAGCTCCAAAAGCAAATCCCACATGAACCCATTTGACAACAACACATGTCTAGTAACCATCACACCCATTGATGAACTTGACTCATCCTCCTTCTTAAGGTTGCTCCACGTTTGTTTAATTACCAAACTACCCTCTGTCTTCTCCATCATGCAAGACTTCAATCCAACAACATATTGCTGAGCTTCTGACACGACATGCTGACAAAGATTTGGATTCTTTGAAGCCTTAAATCTTGTTCCCATCTTCTCATAGAACTTTCTTGAGAATTCAAGCTCTCCTGATAGATTGTTTCCACTGATGTAGAGAGCACCAAGACAAGGCAATGTCTCGAGCTCTTTTGATGGGACAGTGCCGGTCAAATTGTTGTCGTTGAGACCAAGAAACCTCAATCTTTTCAAACTTGTTAAACCTAAAGGAATCTCACCTCTTAAACCCATCTTTGACAGATCCAAAATGACCAAATTGCCCATATTCTCCCACTTTATTCCCATCATGTCGTCACTGTCCATTGAGTTCCCTGATAAAACAAGATCCGTTAAAGATCGAATCTTTACGACGTTTTCGAATAACCCTCCAGAGATTCTGTTGTTCCTTAGATCCAAAAGTGTCAGATTCTTCAAAAACCCGATTTCTTGAGGTAACTTGCCTTCTAAGTGGTTATTACTTAGGTCAAGCTTAAGCAATGAAACCATCTCTCCAATAGAAGAAGGCAATGTCCCTGAGAATGAGTTCCGACTCATATCCAAGATCAGTAGCTCCTTAAACCCATTGAAACAATCCGGTATCGTTCCCGTGAACGAATTTCCCGCCAGAACCAACCGTTTTAACCTAGTTAAATTGCAGAGACTCGTAGGTAACTTCTCGTTAAACCCGTTTTCAAGAACCACCAAAGACTTCAGCTTTGTGAGACTTCCAATTGTTTCAGGAAGTTCACCAATCAAACCAGGATTGGATCTAAACTCGAGAGATTCTAAGTTACTTCCCAAGTTAATCCACTCCTCTTTAGGTATTGTTATCGGCAACGTGAAGCAGTTGAAGAACGTGAGAGATTTCAAGTGCTTGAGCTTGAACAACTGTGGCTTTATCTTCAAACTTGTGGCGCAAGAAAGCGAGTTTTCGTGTACAAGACCTAGGGTTAGATCCGTGACATACCACAAGTCACCATAGAGATCACAAGAAACACCCTGAAAATCCAAAAAAAAAAAAGTTTCAAATTATTGAACAATAATAAAAAAAAAGGAATTTTGTTAGTTGTGGGCCAAAAAACATTTAAAGAAATAAAAATGAGATCTTATATGTAAATAGGTATACACTTTGATGTGTTGAAGCTTAAAAGTTTCACTTACTGGTTATGGAAATTTCAAAGGGGACAGAATTATTCAGACAACTACAGAACAAATTCTTTCCAAAATTCTTAAACATAAACTAAAAGTTTTCAAGAAATCTCAAGAAGCTAGAAAAGAATAAATCAAAGATTTGTAAGAAAGTAAAACAAGAACCTGAATAGGAGTCCAACCACAAGGGTCAGGGTAAAGATCAGAACCATTCCAAGAATCACCAACAAATCCTTGAATAGTTGAGTAAAGAGCTTCTTGTTCTGTTTTCTCCATCGGAGCTCCATCATCAGTGACTTCCGGTGATGATTCTCCGGTAACGCACCACTGGAAAGTTAGAGAAAGGAACAAAACAGAGTGAATCCAAGACATTGTGGGAAAACAGAGGGAATGAGATAGATAAAACAAAGTTTGTGGATTTTGGTTTGAGGTTATCTCTGGGTTTCTTTATCTATTGGTGTTAATAATATTTATTGAAGAGAGAGCGAGAGGTCGTTGGGGGAGTCAATGGATTTCTCATTATTATTATAGCTCAAAAACGTTACAAGAAGGGGAAAATTAAATAAAAGATAAAAATGAAAAATGAAAAATGAAATCGAGGGACTGTAACGAGAAAGACATTTGGTTATATGTTGTTGTCTCTGTCACATAATAGTAAATGTGGCATTTGTTCCCATATCACATACATGTTAATATACACGTATTTACTTCTTCAACTTTCTATTTTTCTATTTTTAAGAGGGCTGGAAAATAGGATGAAGAAGCACAAGAATCAATAAAGCAATTAAAATTTAATGGCTCTGAATACAGAAAACGTATCATACGGAGCAAATCAAATGTATCAAGCAGAACAAAAGCAGATCAAGTAGATCTAGCGGTAGGCCTATAAACGGAGCGAATATCCGACATTTTAGGATATCTGTATCTGTATTTGTATCCGTATTATCTGCCAACTTAGTATATGTATCCGTATTTAGAAATTCCGGATATCCGGTATCCGGATATTCGTTAAAAATAAATAAAATTTTAAAATTCTTAATTCATTAATATCATACATAAAAAGTTTTTTAAAAATTCATAAAGTAGTTAAAGTTGATTAAACATCTACTTAACATTTTTGAAGTACAAATTTGCTCCTCTAATCGGGTCGGGTTATTTTCTGATTTTGACCCGGAAATCTTCAATCGGATCTTTCCTTAAATTATGGCAAAATTTTAAAACGAAAATACCTAATAAAATCTAAATTATATATATTTTCTCAACTAATTACTATATCTAAACTATTTATTTATGGTATATTCATTACAATTTTTATAGATTAGGAAATCAAATATGATAATTTAATGATATCTACTTAACATTTTTGAAGTACAAATTTGCTCCTCTAATCGGGTCGGGTTATTTTCTGATTTTGACCCGGAAATCTTCAATCGGATCTTTCCTTAAATTATGGCAAAATTTTAAAACGAAAATACCTAATAAAATCTAAATTATATATATTTTCTCAACTAATTACTATATCTAAACTATTTATTTATGGTATATTCATTACAATTTTTATAGATTAGGAAATCAAATATGATAATTTAATGATAATATAACAAATTTGAGCTAATTTCCTAAAACCTCTCTACCTAATTTAAACATAAATATATGATTCTCATTTCACTTTTATTTGATCTTATACTTATATTATTTTGAATTATTATAAAATATATATAGTTAATAAATTTTAGTTTTTTTTTCTACATATGTTATGATTCAAATTTTTTAAAACAGACATATATTACTCAATCGATGAAGAAAAAAAATGTGCGTAATCTATATTAATATTTTTTTAAGAACAAATTGCACATTTAATCAAATCGTTTTTTTATTCTGACCCGAAATTGAGTCATTCAGATCTTTCTTAATTTCTACAATTATCTAAAACGGGACACTATACCACGGATGAGATCCTAAAATTAACAAATCAAAATATAATTATTTAGTATTTTAAGATACAATTATAAAAAAAATTTACGGGTTGGTTCAAAAACACATACTAATTTTAAAATATATATATTATGGAAACCATTTGAAAGGTAAACTTTTAAATTGACTCGAATTATATATCTTTTAAATAAAAGTGTTATTAAAAAAAATAACAAAATAATGTCTAATTCCACAGGACAGGAGTATATGGTGGGACGGGTTTGGGTCAAAATTAATACGGGACAATATACCACGGGTGAAATCCTAGAATTAACAAATCAAAATTTAATTATACAATCTTAAACAGTAAACAAAACAAATACAACTTAAATTTTTTATTTTTTATATACAACGCATGTGACCCGCGGTGTACAACAAAAAAATATCATACACAACAAATTCATCAGTTTATAAAAAAATATAAAAAAAAATCAAATAATTAACCCGCGGTATACCGCGGGTCATATCCTAGTACAAAACATTACAAAAACAAGGAATTTATTAAAGTATCAAAAAGTTCAAACGATTTTGAAAAGAAAAATAAAAGACATTAACCAACTTCCCAAATAATAGTATAGAATATTTGATTTTTAAGGTTGTTGCACACCGATTAAGAAATCATATAATTAATTTTGTTTATTTCTAAACTAAAACATTATTTATTGTCTATTTAAGCACAATGCAACCAATAAAAAAATAATATAAATAATATAAATCGTCAAAACCAATAAAACTTAATTAATATTGCATAAAAAATTGAAAACATCATCTATTTTCAAACAAAATTTTTTTTCTAAAACATCAAAAAAAGAAGAAGAGAGGGAGTATAAAAGTAAAACAACCTACATACTTAAAAATCTATACTAGTATTTTTGCAGTCACTTTTGAGTCAGGTGGATAAAATTGTTCACGGATACTTTGGATACCCGACCCGTTTACAAATTTTGGTCATAAAAAGTTTGTTGGGTCGGGTTATATTTAACCCAACTCATACACCGGATATTTCATATTTAATAATTTAGATATTTAGAAGATTTGATTAAGATTTAGAATTATGATTCTCCTATCATCTTTGTTTGATTTGTTTTTAACTGTTTTGAATCATCATATAATACATAAAGTAAAAAAAAATTATTTTTTTCTGCATATACTATGATTCAAAATTTTTAAAACGGACATATATTATCCAATTGACGAAAATGTGTGTTCAACGTTCTACATCGATTAAAATATTTAGACAATGATTCAAAATCATATCCCTTTATAAGATCAACATTAATAAACTAAATGAGTTTTTTGGCCAGACGGATTTTGCGGGACGGGTTTTTGAATCAACAATAATAAAAAGATTAAAATATCATTAATCCGCCGCTTCAATACGGATTAAATCCTTAATTTTTTTAATACCACCAATATTAGACATATTAAATGAATCTCATTTAAAAAAGATTGTATAAAACCAAAAATTGTCCCGTGATAAAATGTTACTTAATAACAATTGTAAACTATAAAATATAAATATCTTAGAAAATAATACAATTTGTAAAATTTTATATATAATAAATAATCGTTAAATTTTAAAAATTACTACTTTTCGTAAACAAATCACGGAACGGGTTAAGAAGTTACAGGACATGTTATATTTCGGAACGAAGTTATATGGTGGACGAGTTTGAATCAATATTTATAAAATTTTAAAATATCATTAACATGCCGTTTTAATACAGATTAAATCTTCAGTTTATTAAAATATAAATGACTTAGAGAATGATATGATTTGTAAACTTTTATATATAATAAATAATCATTAAATTTTAAAATAAAAACAAATCACGGGACGTGTTAAGAAATTACGGAACGGATTATATTTCGGAACGGGTTTATATGGCGAAAGAATTTGAATCAATATTTATAAATATCATTAACATGCCGCTTTCATACGGGTTAAATCCTCAATTTATTAACAATTATCTCGTGGACTCGTGGTATACCGTTACTTAATAACAATTGTAAACTAAGGAGATACAATTTACAAAATATTTTTATACTAACTTTAGAAATAAATCATCCCGCGGTGTACCGTGGGTTAAAATCTAGTAATAATTAAAAGTCTTAACTTTTTTTTTTTTTGACATCTTTGGATCGATAAGGCCCGATCCATAGCCAATCCCTATTACGCGGGGTAACGCGACTTAGTGGAGTCGAACTCCGGTGGGGAAGGCGGAGTTAAATGGATTTAATCACTTGACTAAAGGCACATCCCTAATTAAAAGTCTTAACTATAATCAAGCTCTTTCGAATTTAAAATTGCATAGTACAAAGTACAAACCGCATTTTAACGATTTTGGGAGGATAATGATTGAACCGAGACTAAACCGGAGAATAAACATAAACCAAAACCCTCGGATTCATTTCGAAGGATAATTTTGCTGTATCACAACAGCTCTTCCCCATCTTCTCTAGCTGCTTTTCTTCGATCATTGAAGCATCCACCCAGAAAAACCCTAATCCTCCAGACAAGAAATGAGCTCTTTCTCCGTTAAAAAGTCTCCAACTTCATCCTTCCTCTTCCCAAAAATCACACCTTTACTTATACGACATCGTCTCACTCTCCCATTACTCGTTCCTCCTCACAAACCACCAAGATTCCGCATCGTTGCTTCTCTCTCTGGTACTTCATGGGTCTCTCAAGCTTCTAAAGACAAATTTGGTGGTTGGGCTCTTGTTGAAGATGAAGCTCCTTCTCCTCATTCGAAAACTAAAAAAAGTTAGTACCTTTGAAGAAAAGTTGAATAAAGTTCTTAGCTTTGTGTTTGTAATTTGATTTGAATGTGTTTTGTTTTGGGGTTTAGAGTGGAGAAATGTTGTTATCACTGGTATTGGATCGTCACTTGCTGTTGTATTAGCTACTATTGCTTACTTCTCAATCTCCAGAAAAGGTTCAAAAACATTTTTCTTAACTCTTTTGTTTTTGCCAGTGATGATGAATTTGTAGGATGGTTTTAATCTGAGATTCTTGGGGGTTTGTGTATCTTTTGACAGGTTTTAGGTTTTGCTTTAGTAATCCATTGCATTATCAAAATGTGGAATTGGATCAGAATGATAATGAAGAAAGTGAAACTCTGTTCACTGATGAGAACAATTCTGTTTCTGAGGCTAACTCTGAAAGCATTGACTATGTTTCAGACACTAGTAAGTTCTCATCTTGGTTAATTTGTGAGTTTGAAAGAATCTATAGCTTGTAGTTATAACTGCTTTAATAAGACTTAATTCGTGTTTTCTGCTGTTTACTTTAGCATCAACCGGAAAAACTCACCGTGTCACCACTCCGGTTGCTGTGGATGTTGCTCAACAAGAAGCAATAGCAGTTTTAAAGAAACTAAAGGTTTATTTCGAGAAACTTGCTCTCGTACAACAACTTGAATTGAGCCTTAGTTTTCCAGCTCTGATCATGAACATGTCACTTGTAATTAAGTTGTTCAGATAATTGAAGATGATGTAGTGGCAGACGAGTTGTGTACTAGACGAGAGTATGCTAGATGGCTGGTTCGTTCTAATTTGTTATTAGAGAGGTAATGATACTTGGAGCACATTTTTTCTGAACTTGATAAGTCTCTTAGCGTTTGTGGTGAACTGACACAATGTGTTTCTCTTGCCTTTAGAAATCCAATGCACAGGATTGTGCCAGCAGTAGCTTTAGCTGGCTCTTCAATTCCTGCATTTGACGATATAAATATAGCTGACCCTGACTTCGAGTACATTCAAGGTACAATCGATAAGAGACATTTCTGTTTTGGTTTAGTAGTTTATCAGAACTTCTGTAATTGATTTTTATTTTTCGAGTTTTCATTCAGCCCTGGCAGAGGCAGGCATTACTTCAAGCAAGCTATCCGTAAAAGATTCTCAAAATGATTCGGGAAACAATAATTTCTACCCTGAGAGGTATAGAAGCGATTAGCTTTCTTCATCCGCTTTGTAATTGTTTCTTTGTTCATTGATCTCTAATTGTTTTAACATATATCGTGGCTGCAGTTTTGTTTCCCGACTCGATTTGGTTAACTGGAAAGCTCAATTGGAGTGTGGTTTCCATCCAGAAATTATGGAAGAGGTGTGATAAAGTTGTAACATTTGAGGATATTGGCAATGCTTATCAAATACTTTTTATCTCTTAAAAAGCCTGACTTGTTTACAGTCCAGATATCAAGGACAAAGGTAGACTATATAGACACGAAGAATATCAATCCTGATATGGCTCTCGGATTCTTCTTGGACTTCTTGATGGGTGACAAGAGTACGATCAGAAACGTTTTTGGTATTCTTCTACCTCTAACTCTGATCTTGTCTTTCTTTGTTGTATTGTTGATGTCGGTATACATTACAGTTGAATAAAGCTTTATCGAAAAACAAATGAGGATTTAATATTTACAGGTAGGATCAAGCGGTTTCAGCCAAATAGACCTGTTACAAAAGCACAAGCAGCTGTAGCATTAACAAGCGGTAAAATGGTGGAAGCTATTTCAGCAGAGCTATCAAGGTTAGAAGCAGATTCCCTCTCGCAGAAAGCTGAGACGGAAGAAATCAGATCGGAATTGCTAGAAAAAGGTGAAATAAGGCAATTTTGGGATGAGAAGATTCAGGCAGAGAGATCCCGAGGACTTGAGATGGAAGAGCTGTATCTCTCCAGAGTTGGTGAATTAGAAGAAGAGAAAATCGCTCAGCAGAAGTGGTTTGCAGAGCGTTTGAAAGAGAAAGCAGCCACAGATTGTCAGAAACAGTTGCTTAATAGCTTGAGTGAGGAAATTGATGAGATGTCTCAGAGGCTAATATCCGATAAATCCGTTTATCTGACTGAGCACAGCAAGTTACAAGAGATGCTAAGTGACATACAATCTAAACTTGAGTCGCTTATCGACAAAAGATCTATCCTCGAAGCTGAAGTCGAAGCTCTTCGGATTCTAAGGTAATGGTAATTATTATTGTAGCAAAGTTTTGATCTTTTGGAAAAGTTTTAACCAAATATGAGTGAATGAAAATGCAGATCTTGGATAGAGGATGAAGCTAAGGCAAGCCAAGCCAGAGCTAAGGTTCTCGAGGATGCGGGACGAAGATGGAAATGGAACGATAATGCTTGAATCTTTCTTCAGATTGTACAAAAATTTGTTGAGTGATCATTGTTTGTTATATTATGAGTGTTGAAAATCTGAAATTAAGCAAATCCAGAAACTTTGGTTTTGTTGGTTTAAGACAATTAATTAACGAATCTTGGTTTAATTGGAAACGAAACTTTCACATTCATAATTTTCAAAATACCAAAAAAAAAAGTGAGAATAGTTTATCAAGAATCTAATCATTGGCTTCGAACTTATTCTCACACTTTAGCAATGAAATTTCAAATTTTGAAGAGCGATTTACAAAAACCGTTAAATAAAAATGAAATCTTTACGCTACTGTCAAAGTCCCAGCAACGGAAGAAGAACAAATCAAGAAACTGAAAGCAAGACGGAAACTAATCGTGCTCGCTAATTTGAAGTCTGGTACGATTCTACTCCCATTTCACGAACTGGGTTTGCTTAAAAATCGAAACTTTGTGATTGAATTCGCTTCTTCTTCTTCCTTTAGACATTCAGTTTCTTAGGGTTTCGTAGTTTAATAGTTACAGTGTACCAGTCAAACCAAAACTGGGTCATTATTTAGAGTTACGTGTTTTGTTTTACAAAAGAAAGTTTCTCAATTCTTAGTGTATCTTTGATGAATTCCAATGTTGTTTCTCAGACAAGAAACAATTAAAGCTGTTCTTGTCTTTTTGCTTTGCAAGTGTATGTTCTGCGAGAGAGATATCCTCTCTGACTTGTTCACACCAGAAAATTCCTCTGCCATACAATAATACAGTAGATAGATAAATTCGTTAGGCTCCACTTGTATCTGAATCTTTAACTGTTTTGTGCAGATTGGTAAAAAAGAATCAGAATCCAGTGAAGGGTCTAAATATGAGTTTTCACACCATATCATGTAAGATTCTTACATCTTTTACAAGAACATGTTCTCTTTTGTTATCTCTTCTTATTCACACACTTGTTTCTTAGATAAGGCTAAAAAGGCAAACATATGAAATCTATGGCTGATAAAAAAGCGTTTTGATAAGATAATGAAAAGGCCATTCTTGGTTTTCATATTTGGTTTACCATTTAACTAAAATTATTGACAATTAGAAATAAATTTCAATCTTTCTGTTTTCTTGTATTTGGTTGTTGTTACGTAGCGTGGCAACACACCTCTACTTGTACCTGGTCCCCAAACACCTCAACATAAGCTAAATCTCACATTTTTCTTATGCAATGGACCAAACTTATTTCTTGAATGACCTTTACCAAATTTTGAGATCACTAATCTTTATATTGAGTAGATTGGTCTTATCTTATGTGTTTAGTTCACCGTCTAGTTTGGTATGACACAAGAGACAGAATTCTTAATCTTTTGCTTTGACCCTTATTGACAAAAAAGGATAATTTTATTGAGTTTTTTTGTTTACGGCTGCCTTTTTGGTCATGGCTTAAGACCCCATCTATTACCATACATGTCTATTTCCTCATCTGTCTTGAGCTAAAACAGCGACTATTATTGGTTGTTTTCATTTTATTAAATGATGAGATTTTTGGCCCCTGATGCATGAGACTTGAGAGGTCCATAAAGCTGATAAGATCGAATTTTGTGATGATAAGTGTCTTATTTTTTTCCTTCTTTTCTTGGGTGGACATAGTTCTGTAAAGTTTTGTCAGTACCTGGAAGTTTCTCTTACAGAAGCAAGTGTGTATATCCATTTGTCATAAGGTTCATGAACAAGATTTGGACTAGAGATTTTTCTTGAAGGAACGATGGGTTGAGTTAGTATCCGTAGAGTGATATTTTTAAGGAGACTTTCCGGTTCTGTAGATGAGACGGGGAAGGGAATTTATTCCCATTTCAAGATTTTAATATATGTTTGTCCGGATAGGGTTTGTTGTTGCTGCTTCCATTGCAGCAGTTACTGTTAAGCGGCTCAACGTTAAACCCTCCAAACCGAGCAAACCATCAGGTACTGTTTTTTCTTAACCAAGCACTAATTGTATTTAACACCTTATATAGCATCTGACTTTGTTTTGTTTTCTGCATTTTGCTCTAAGATAATGGCAAAGGAGGCGATAAAGAACAGTCTGTGGATCCCAACAACAATCTCAATGACAAGAATGTAAGTGTACTTTGGAAAGTTGTGTTCTTTCATGTGTTTGATTGACATGTTTTTGACAAATTGGATAATATTTTCAGGTGCAAGAGGAGGAAGAAGAAGAAGAAGAGGTGAAACTAATCAACAGCGTAATCAATCAGACTCGTGGAAGTTTCTCGGACTATTTAGATGATGATATTTTACCCGAGTTTGAAGATCTTTTATCTGGTGAGATTGAGTATCCATTGCCTGATGATGATAATAACTTGGAGAAAGCTGAGAAAGAGAGGAAATATGAAGTCGAAATGGCGTATAACGATGGTGAGCTCGAAAGGTTGAAACAGTTAGTTAAGGAGCTAGAAGAAAGAGAAGTGAAACTCGAAGGTGAATTGCTCGAGTATTATGGACTTAAAGAGCAAGAATCGGATATCGTTGAGTTACAAAGACAGCTCAAGATCAAGACTGTTGAGATCGATATGTTAAACATCACTATTAATTCTCTGCAAGCTGAGAGGAAAAAGCTTCAAGAAGAGCTCTCACAAAACGGTATAGTAAGAAAGGAGCTTGAAGTGGCGAGAAACAAGATCAAAGAGTTGCAGAGGCAAATCCAACTCGATGCTAATCAGACGAAAGGACAGTTACTGTTGCTTAAGCAGCATGTATCAAGTCTTCAAATGAAAGAAGAAGAAGCTATGAATAAAGATACCGAAGTAGAGAGGAAGCTTAAAGCTGTACAGGATTTGGAAGTGGAAGTTATGGAACTCAAGAGAAAAAACAGAGAGCTTCAACATGAGAAGAGAGAGTTATCCATTAAACTCGATTCAGCGGAAGCAAGAATTGCAACTCTTTCAAACATGACCGAGGTAAGTGTAATCATTTTTAAATCAAAGTTCCTTTCTTTCATAGATTAAGAGTTTCTGTCTTTTATGTAGAGCGATAAAGTGGCGAAAGTTAGAGAAGAGGTTAACAATTTGAAGCATAACAATGAGGATTTATTAAAGCAAGTGGAAGGGCTTCAAATGAATAGGTTCAGTGAAGTTGAGGAATTGGTTTATCTCCGTTGGGTCAATGCATGTTTACGGTATGAGTTAAGAAACTACCAGACACCAGCTGGTAAAATCTCAGCTCGTGACTTAAGCAAGAACCTAAGCCCCAAGTCCCAAGCAAAAGCAAAACGGTTAATGCTAGAGTATGCTGGTTCAGAGCGTGGCCAAGGAGATACCGACTTAGAAAGCAACTACTCTCAACCTTCATCTCCGGGAAGCGATGATTTCGATAATGCTTCGATGGATAGTTCCACTAGTAGGTTGAGTAGTTTTAGCAAGAAACCAGGATTGATTCAGAAACTCAAGAGATGGGGCAAAAGCAAGGATGATTCGAGCGTTCAATCATCGCCTTCAAGATCATTCTATGGAGGATCACCGGGAAGACTTAGCTCGAGCATGAATAAACAGAGAGGTCCTTTAGAATCTTTGATGATTAGAAACGCCGGTGAATCCGTAGCCATAACAACATTTGGTCAAGTGGATCAAGAATCTCCTAGTACCCCTGAAACACCGAATCTTCCTAGAATCCGAACACAACAACAAGCTTCTTCTCCGGGTGAGGGTTTGAATTCCGTTGCAGCATCGTTCCACGTGATGTCTAAATCGGTTGACAATGTTTTGGATGAGAAGTATCCTGCGTACAAAGACAGGCATAAGTTGGCAGTTGAAAGAGAGAAGCACATTAAGCATAAAGCAGATCAAGCAAGAGCAGAGAGATTTGGCGGTAATGTGGCTTTGCCTCCTAAACTTGCTCAACTAAAGGAGAAAAGGGTTGTGGTTCCCTCCGTGATCACAGCCACAGGTGATCAGTCTAACGAGTCAAATGAGTCTAACGAAGGTAAAGCCAGCGAAAACGCTGCAACTGTAACCAAAATGAAGCTTGTAGACATTGAGAAACGACCTCCTAGAGTACCTCGCCCGCCTCCAAGATCATCTGGAGCTGGTAAAAGTACCAATTTGCCTTCAGCAAGACCTCCCTTACCTGGTGGAGGTCCACCACCACCTCCTCCACCACCTGGCGGTGGGCCTCCTCCTCCACCTGGTGGTGGGCCGCCGCCACCACCACCGCCTCCTGGAGCACTTGGAAGAGGAGCGGGAGGCGGCAACAAAGTTCACCGAGCTCCTGAGCTTGTTGAGTTTTATCAATCATTGATGAAACGTGAATCGAAGAAAGAAGGTGCACCTTCTTTGATCTCTTCAGGAACTGGTAATTCATCAGCAGCTAGGAACAATATGATTGGGGAAATCGAGAACCGATCAACATTCCTCTTAGCAGTAAGTTCACACTTTCAATATAATGTTTAATGCAATTGGATTTCAAACAAAGAATTCAATTGTTTAAACTTGATTACAGGTAAAAGCGGATGTGGAGACACAAGGGGACTTTGTACAGTCGTTAGCAACTGAAGTCCGAGCTGCTTCTTTCACCGACATAGAAGATCTCTTGGCGTTCGTTAGCTGGCTAGATGAAGAGCTCTCCTTTTTGGTCATTAACTCCTCTTTTCAACATTACTTTCTAACGGCTATTCGGTTCTTTTTAACTCACAGATCATTCGCTGTCTTTTTGTTTAGGTTGATGAAAGGGCAGTTCTTAAACACTTTGATTGGCCAGAAGGTAAAGCTGATGCGCTACGAGAAGCAGCTTTTGAATATCAAGATCTCATGAAACTGGAGAAGCAAGTTACTTCTTTTGTCGATGATCCTAATCTCCCTTGTGAACCTGCTTTGAAGAAGATGTACAAGTTGCTAGAGAAGTAAGTTATCTGTCAACTCGAAAACAAAGTAATTCACACCAAATCTTTATTTACTAATGTTTGGTTTCTGCTTTTTCCACAGGGTTGAACAAAGTGTATACGCGCTTTTACGTACAAGAGACATGGCGATTTCACGATATAAAGAATTCGGGATTCCAGTTGATTGGTTATCTGATACCGGCGTCGTAGGGAAGGTAAAACATTTGTTCTTTCTTTCCCTTCCATTTGTCTTTGTTTTTGTAAAACAATCTTGAAAATGCTCTGTTTGGTTTTTGTTTCATTTTCATCAAAACACAGATCAAGCTTTCCTCAGTCCAGCTCGCGAAGAAGTACATGAAACGAGTAGCTTATGAGCTTGATTCAGTGAGTGGCTCTGATAAAGATCCTAACAGAGAGTTCTTGCTTCTCCAAGGTGTTCGCTTCGCGTTTAGAGTCCATCAGGTAAAAAAAAACAAGAACATAAGAAATCTAAATGACCAAATTTCTCAATTGTTTGGATATGTAAGTGAAAATGTTTGTCTTGTTATGTACAGTTTGCTGGAGGGTTTGATGCAGAGAGCATGAAAGCATTTGAAGAACTTAGAAGCAGAGCCAAAACTGAAAGTGGAGGAGACAATAATAGTAATAATAACAATGAAGAAGAATCTGTAAACTGAGTTTATTACTTTCGTTTTTCTTCTATGTATCATTTGTAACACATACTTGATTTATAGTACAGTGAATTTATAGACTATTGTAAAAAGAAATACATTTTTTGTGTAGGTTTGCAATTATTTATATTTTGTTATTTGTTTACTATATTTTAGATAATAAATTCGCAATAAATTTGTAATCTCCCAAACTACTGAAAAAAAAAGATAAAATAAGTGTGGTTTGTCTTAAAAGTCACATGTTTCATATCATGTGCAGCCATGCAAAGTATCGCGCGAATCTTCTTCACTCTTTAATGTTTTACAGTATTTTTATAAGTTTTATCATTTAAATGTATCACAATATTTTTTTGGTTACAGTTTTTTTTTTCATGTTGAGTAAAGTACAAAATAAAAACAATAATGGTTCATTAGATTTTACAGCATATAACAACAAGGACTAGTTCTATTTTTTCTTTTGTAATTTTATGCAATCGTATGTATAAAAGAAATAATAATCATGTTTTTTATTTTTGGAAATTAAGTATTTCTGCCACCTCGATAAGTATAAAACGAGTGGGCACAATCGTTGCCTCGATACACGAGCTTCCTCTCTCTCTTGAAGGCGATTTTATAGATCTCGATCTAGTGCTCCGGTGAACCTGGTTTAATTGAAGGTGAAGGTCTTTCGAAGGTAGTCCAGGAGTGAGTCGTCTTGTCTCTCTGACAACAATGGCGTGGTGTCTCCTGCTGATGTGGATGTGGCTCTGGAAGGGCGGAGGAGGAGCGTTGATGCAGTTGCCTCTCGGTTGGGGACGCTGGGAGTTGTGTCGGTGCTCCTCAGGCTCAACCGCCGGCCCATAGGCTGCGTCCACGGCGGAAGTTGGCGGGGGTAAGGTGGGTTTTGTGTTGTGTTGACAGGTGGCTAGCGGAGGATCTTTGATCCTTGATGGCTGATGCGGGGGTCGGATTTAAAGGCTCCGGTTGAGCCTCCGTCCTTTATATCCGCCGGATCGGGTGTGCCGACTGTCCGGATCGAGGCTCGACGTCTTAGGGATCCCGGATTTTCACGGAGATGGAAGAGCGAGGATAGCCCCAAGCGCGACGGGTTGCTAGGTTGGGACTCGTCGTCGTCGATCCGTCTCGTCGGTGACTCTAACTTTCTGGGAGGTTTGTGGCGGGTTGGTTCGTCGGAGGAAAAGGATGGCTGTCGGAAACCGAAATCTTCCACCGGCAATTTTAATCCTCTAATGTGGCCACGAAGTTGTGGGCCTTGATTTCGCCAGATCTAAGGTTTGGGGTCACTGCGAACGGAGATCAACAGGGGCCGAGTCGGTCTGGTTTTTTCCGGCGAGTCTCCGGCGATTCCTTTTTGTAACTGGGCTTATTTTCGTTGTTAGGCCTTGGCCCATGCCCTTTTTGGGTTAAAAAAAAAAAAAAAAAAAAAAAAAAAAAAAAAAAAAAAAAAAAAAAAAAAAAAAAAGTATTTCTGCCACCACCTAACAAACAGGGTCCATTTCTTGGGTATAGTACTTTTCACGTCCAAACAAGATCTACATTTATTATAATTATTGTATTCGTATAACTATGAATCATTATCATCATCATAATAATAATTTATATCATCCGACCCTCTTCTAATAAATGAAATAATTCACGGATCTAAGACTAAGATTACATTCACTAAAAACAACCATAGTCCACATATATATAACATTGTTGGCATTATATCACACTTCTCTAAAAACTAAATAGATTATATGAAGACAAACGTAAAACACTACACAATTACTAATATTTATGTCTGAAAATTATCAATCTAATCAATGATTAAAAAATCAAATAAAGTTAAAAGTAAAAGAACAAAGAAACAAAACAAAAACACATTTAGACAGCTAAGAGTTTTATTGCAAACGCCAAAGCTTTATTTTTGATACCCCCCCCCCCCAAAACAGATATCTTTCAGTCTTCACGTTGCAATGTACTCACATTTCGACCACATACTGACAAAAACTCGAATACATAAACGTATAAAATACCGTATTTTTATACACTCTTCTTCTTCTTCATCTCTTAAAACACACAGACACAAATAACACAAAACCCTTCTCACTCTCTCTCAATGTTTCCTCTTATTTATTTCTGTTCTTTCCTCTCTCTCTTCCTCCTCCCACCGGCGAATCTCGCCGCCGTGAGTAACGACAGAAAGTACCTAAAGCTTCCATTACTACGCAAATCTCCGTTTCCTTCTCCAACACAAGCTCTAGCACTAGACACTCGCCGTCTCCATTTTCTCTCTCTCCGTCGAAAACCCATCCCATTCGTCAAATCTCCGGTTGTCTCCGGCGCATCTTCCGGGTCGGGTCAATACTTTGTGGATCTTCGAATCGGACAACCGCCTCAATCGTTACTTCTAATCGCCGACACAGGAAGTGATCTCGTTTGGGTAAAATGTTCAGCTTGCCGGAACTGTTCTCATCATTCTCCGGCCACCGTCTTCTTCCCACGCCACTCCTCAACATTCTCTCCCGCTCATTGCTACGACCCGGTTTGTCGTTTAGTACCTAAACCGGGTCGGGCTCCAAAATGTAACCATACCCGGATCCATTCCACGTGTCATTACGAGTATGGTTACGCAGACGGTTCATTAACTTCCGGTTTATTCGCTAGAGAAACGACGTCGTTGAAAACAAGCTCTGGTAAAGAAGCCAAGTTAAAAAGCGTTGCTTTCGGATGCGGGTTTCGGATCTCGGGTCAATCCGTATCGGGTACGAGTTTTAATGGAGCCAATGGAGTAATGGGCTTGGGCCGTGGGCCTATTTCTTTTGCTTCTCAGTTGGGCCGTCGTTTTGGTAACAAGTTTTCTTATTGCTTAATGGATTACACTCTCTCTCCGCCGCCGACGAGTTATCTCATCATCGGAGACGGCGGCGACGCCGTTTCAGTTTCAAAGCTTTTCTTCACTCCGTTGCTCACGAATCCGTTATCGCCGACTTTTTACTACGTTAAATTGAAATCTGTCTTCGTTAACGGTGCGAAATTACGGATCGATCCTTCAATTTGGGAAATCGACGATTCAGGTAACGGCGGAACCGTCGTGGATTCCGGTACAACCTTAGCGTTTTTAGCTGATCCGGCTTATCGTTTGGTTATCGCCGCCGTGAAACAACGGATGAAGCTCCCGAACGCCGATGAGCTGACTCCGGGGTTTGATTTATGCGTTAACGTCTCCGGCGTTACGAAACCGGAAAAGATCTTGCCGAGGTTGAAATTCGAATTCTCCGGTGGTGCTGTGTTTGTTCCGCCGCCGAGGAATTACTTTATTGAGACGGAGGAGCAGATTCAGTGTTTGGCGATTCAATCGGTGAATCCGAAAGTTGGATTCTCGGTGATCGGGAATTTGATGCAACAAGGTTTCTTGTTTGAATTCGATAGAGATAGATCACGGTTAGGTTTTTCTCGCCGTGGTTGTGCTTTACCGTGATGGATTTTGTCACCGGAATATTCCGTTTCGATTCGCTTAAAGATTCTTTTTTATTGTTTTTTTTTGCCATTTTTTCTTTTCTCTTGGAAGTACGGAATTTGGGTGACGGTTCACTGTTCCCGAAAATAGAAATAAAATAATCTTTTTGGAGTTTGTATAATTTCAATTAAAATTAAAATATTATTAAGGTTACCTATATTTAAATTTCTTTTATACATTTTAACTTAATTCTATATGATGTTTTTATTAAATGGTTGGATTTTAATTTTTCTATAATCTATAATTGAATCACCCCTACGTTTATAATTGATGTAGGAAATAATAAGTGAAAATTATAAGGATAAATTTGTGAATGCAAGAAAATAATAAGAAAATAATAAGTTAATTTGACATTCAAATGCAAGAAAGCAAAAGGCATCATCATTATTCAGTAACTTAACTAAGTTATTTGGATTTTCTTTCGACATAAATCTTGGTGATTAGTTTTTTTTTCTTCTTACTTGAGAAGTTGGAATGTGCTTTCTCATGGATTTTGAGAGGTTACATAACTAGAAAACTAACTTGGTCCAATATCCTAGAGATCAAATAAGAAGAATAGACTTTGTTCTATTTATAAATCGTTTATAGAGATGCTAAACAGGTTTGAATGAGAAAGAGGAAGAATCTCTGTGAGTCAATGGATTCTTGAAAATGTACTAGTAAAAGAAAGCAGTGACAAGCCGAATATGACAAAGCCTAAAATGACTACGTAGCCCAAAATAATTTATTGGCCCAAACTGCCTAAAATCACTTTTATCTATTTACAAATCCACGACCACAAGGGTCAAGGGACGACGTTAAGTCCAACTAAAAGCCTTATAAAACATGTGAAATTTGAAAATTCTCTCCACTCAAGATTTAAAAGTAATATATAAAAGACATAGATCACTCTATCCATTTTTTTGGTGGCATATTAGTTTAAAATTGAAGACTCATAATATTAGCATCTAGTAAGCCTAAATTCTCTCCTATTTCGTTTTTTTTTTTTTGTTAAATTTGGCCGATGGTCTTAAATGGTATATATTTAGAGCATTACAGTATAATATCTATATATTATGATATATTGTTTAAGGTTGATACGCGCGGACTAGGGTTAGAAATCGTAGCATTTTTTATGCAATTTCTAGTTACCATGAATATTTCCTATTAAGAAATTTGGTGTAATGGTAGGGTTTTTTTTAATGAATGCAAAATTTATTCAACAAAAAAATTGTCGTTTTTACATTATATGCAACCCCTAATCAAAGATTATTTGAAAGAAGTTGTTTTGAAACTGAGCTAATGGCTACTAACTTTTTGATCCAAACCATAGATGCAACTCCTCTCCTAGTTTGTTTGAACCCGGATCTTTTTAAGTTGAGAGATGATTTCGAACTATGCAGTCAATGACTTGGGTACAGTGAGTAGTGTTGGTGAGGTTGCAATTTCCATGCCTTCGCCGATTCATTTCTCACCATATAGAATGAACCGAGATTTGAAGACGTACCTTTGGTCAAGAAATTTATTGCTTTTACACAAGATTAAGAGTTTAAACTTAATTAATTATGTACAAACATTTGTAGATTATGAATACAAGTTATTAATTCGAAAGCATCTAAAAGTGTTATAAATTAAGTTTCTGTTGTGATTCGAGTTAACTTGCCTATTTACAATTATTTTTGTTTGTGAACAAGACTATTAAGTGCAACATGTTAAGTTTTATAATGAGTATGATATGTAATGCTAAGAGGTAAAATGAATGGAGTAAGCATGGCGTCATGATGATCAAAGCCCTAAAAGAGCACCCACCACCCGGGATAATGTTCACAAATCGTAACCAAACTTTTTTCTATTAAAGAATTTATATTCACTTTAAAAAACCTTAAAATATTAAGAAAGTGCAAACACACTCATATATGTGTGTGTTTAATATAGATGTAAAAGGGTGACATAAGAAGACTACAAATGGCCACAAATGTGAAAAAAAGAAACGCAAAGGGACCAGAGACAACCCATGCGTGTGACCACAAAGTGATGCTTACTTATTTCTATATGTTTACACATTTGTTTATTCATAATCCAAAAAATCCATAATATATATGCATAAAGATCACATACACACACATGGGCAAGCACTTCCATATACAAGAAAACTTATTTATACTATATTTCATATTTGCTTCCATAAGACCTACCTCATCACACGTCACCGTTTCATATTTGCAATATTGCATCGTTGGTCTTGGAAAACAACCTTTCCAACATTTCGTGCACTAATGTTTGAATTATCTACATTTCTTCGGATGATAGACTAAACACAAGTATGTGCATGCTTTACTCTTATCTTATGGATGTTGAGTGAAATATTTATATGGTGTTTGATTCTGACTGGGTAAACTTCTAATGATTAATTAAGTTATGGTCGAACTGAGTTTACCGATTAATTAATATTATCTTTATTTATATCATATTCAACATGATATATATAAATGAATGTTAGTTAGTGACTGTGAAGTTTACTCGTATATATCGATACTATGTAACATTATTGACCCAATTATGACTTGCACCATAACGTAGAGCATGGTAAACTAATCTCACGTTATATATTTTTTTAATTATTAAAGGAGAAGACATAAATAAAAACTTTGAAAAATCCAGGAAATAATGCTATTTAACAAAAAAAAAAAGGAATATATAATGCTAGCTTTCTAAGATTGAATTGAATAAGAGGCTTTTTTCATTGATGGTTGATAGTTTTATGTTCTTTTGTCAACAATATGCATTTTAACCTTTTAAATTTAGATATTGATATACAAACCATTATGCTACATGTTTTGATCTACTTTTAAAAAGTTTAGGCATAAATAACACATTGGTATTTTTAAGAATATTCATTGATAATTGATATTTCTAATTAAATACAGTTAAAGGTAATATATGACTTGTTATGTAATATTTTCCAAAAATCTTCAATCATATGATAGTTTACTCTACCCTACTCAAATCGGTAATTAAGCTTCTTCTCACATAACAACTGATTGAACTAGTATTATTGCTAACCGTTTGGTTTTGTTTGATTTAAACATGATCATGATAATGGATGATAAGCTAGTGAATGTGTAATTAGTCATACTCGATTAAATATCATACGATTATAAATAAAAAGCAGCATAGTGGGGCATGTTATACATACATTTCTACATTAATTCACAGTTCATGATGTTGTATGCCACTTCACTGAGATTAGGTTTTCATACGCGAGAAGTTCAGTCATATATTTCTAAAATTTAGTGAAAAATAATCTTCTTCTTTTTTTGATAAAAAAAAATCTTTGATATTTGTTATTTCTATTTCAAACTATGCGTTTAATTAATTTTATAACAAGTAATAAATCAAGTAATGATAATCTACTAGCTAGTTTTACCAGATCAAAATAAGAGAGTTTGATAATCTCCTATTTTTTTTTTGCTAAAATATAATCTACTAAACTTTGAACTCTGGTCTTATTTTGATTAAAAAATTATAACAATAAAAAGGTGGATACATTGTTTTTTCTTATACTGCTTGTTTAAGGAGAGTTGAACCAGAGATCGCACAAGAAAACCAACCCCTTTTTACTATACCAATAGGCCACCATCCCTTTGGTCTCTTATATAGTTAGTTTTGTGCTTAAATTACATAAATCTCGCCAAAATTAAAGCCTCCTACTCTTGTGGCTTCCTCTGGAAGAAGAGTTCGACTTACTTCCAATCATGGCATACAAATATTAGGCAGTGGAGACACACACACAAAATTCCATGAAACCTAAAAATGGAAGAACACTTTTGTTTTGAATCATTATCTAATGCTCACACGTTAGTGAACCTTGCACATATATGTGTATGTATTTACACATACACATGTAATGATGTGGTCGTAAAGACCTTTGCACAAATCTGTTGTGTGTAGTCACATATTCACGTGTAGAAGGACAACTTCTGGTTATATACACATATATAATCGTCATACGTACATGCATACTGTATATTAATTTATTATTTATAACCACCGATAGGAACATTACAAGAAATGCAGCGTTTTCCTACAGCCAAAATCGTAGAAAATTGGTAAGAAATAAATATTCGAATTCATATCGCCACACTCCTGAACTCTAAAAAAAAAAAATGAATTCGAGGTCCATTGGTCACTACCATTAGTATGGTGCATGGCATATATTATACAGATTAATTAATGTCTAATGGTCCCAAATTTCCTAACTCTATATATATATATATATATATAATTTATGTTTATGTTTTAATTTCCACGCAAACCGGTCGATAATAAGAGTATACTTATGAATTCTAGTGAGTTTATACTTTATAACCTATAAATTAATAAATTTCAGCCGATCTTGTTGGATTCAAAATATCAATACAAAACCAATTTTAATTTTCATTGGTTATTGCAATTTGCAAGTAATATGAAAGAAAGATCACAAGTTTTATAATACATTTCATTTACTTCATGATATTTTTTTACCAACTTTGCTATTTAAGTAATTTATCCAATTTCAAAAAGTTACAGAATAAAGGTAAAGCATGCATATTTGAGTTATTTATTTCAAAAAGAATTTCAAAAAGATAATATACAATGGTTTCTAGTTCTATAAGAGTTCATTTCACTTCAGGATTTTTTTTTCACTGATTTTACTATATTATTCAGTTTTGCTGAATTTTTTTATCAGATAATTTATTTTTATCACACTAGTTAAAGCCAAAGTAACGAACTGATTTGGTTTTAAAAAAGCCATGCTTGTCAAGATGAAAATGATTTTAGCTTTTTCAAAGGCCTTTTGAACATGAACACTGACTTTATTTTAAAGGTAATGATTATAGGTTTCTTCCAACAATGGTTTCCTATCATATAATTCTTCACCATAAAATTATTACATTTTATGGACCAACAGTTAAGCACGTACTCGCTGAAGGGCATGGTCTCGTGACAATAATATATACCAAAAAAATGTATTTTTGTATATAGTATTGGGCACCGTGAAACATTATCAGGTTATGTCCATAGTCATTAGAAAGTTAGAAACTAGTATTATTATTGCTGCTTTTGATATGATGTTTATCACTTTTTTCAGTGTATAAAATATGGCTTCGTGATATATGTACCTTTCATATACTTGATTTTGATGCAATGTTCATTCTTTTCGTAAATATCAATTTAGTTAAGTTAAGTCTTCTAGGTAAGTTAGTTAAATCTAGTACGCTTTATAGTAGTTAAATTGTTAATTTTGAACCATTTGTGTTTTATTTAAGTGGCTAAACATGTTTTATTGGTGTATTTAGACGGAGCAATATCCGTCTTGTGTTTTAATTAATAATCTCTTTTTAAGAAATCAACCAAATTAAAGCATCTCATGAAAAAAAATCATGGATGATCAAGTCCTTAATTAGTTGAGTGATTTCTTTTTTAAGGGTCGGAAAAATAATATTTTATAACATCTAGATATGATCTGCTTCTATACAAAAATTTTGGATATCTAAAACATAAAAAACAAATAGTATGCTTTAAACAAAACAAAGAAAATTTAATAATTAAGTATGCTTTAACTCAAACATAACGAATAAAAAAATAGTAAAACTTCAAATATATATATATATATATCTAAAACATAAAAAACAAATAGTATGCTTTAAACAAAACAGAGAAAATTTAATAATTAGGTATGCTTTAACTCAAACATAACGAATAAAAAATAGTAATATATATATATATTAACACATATAATTATATATGTATGAACATATATATATTAATAGGTTTACAAGTTTAACTTATGACCAATTATGATTAAAGATACTACAATAAAATTCATAAGTAGATTAAAGTAAATTAACTGTAAAAATTTCAGCAAAATACATATATATGAAATGTAAGATCGATTGTTCAAATGTCTTTTCATTAGGACCTATGTAAAAAGTTTTCGAGAGAAGAATTATAGTGAGGCTTGTTTCAAGTTTCAACAAGAAAAAACAGAAAAGAATCATGTATATAAATCAATCAAGTACTGATAATATAGAAGTATTATTGGAAACAAACAAGAAGAGAAGTAAATTCAAAGACAAAATGATTTAGAATTCTTGGAGAAGGAAAAAGAAGAAGACAGCGTGGAGAAAGAGCCCAGAATGTTGAACGTCGTGTGGGCTTCACTCTGCACCACCACCCCAAAACCCTAGTTCATACCCTATCCTATAATTTATACTCAAAATTTTCTCATTTTCTTCTATTATTATCACTATTCATATAGGAGTATATATTTAATGAAGAATTTTCGGATCTATAAATTATTATCTGTTTATGTCTGAGATCAGTTTTTGATAAAACATGTGACAGATTCACAAAAATAGTTCATCTTTTAGCAAAAAAAAAAAAAAAAAGTTCATCTTTCACAAAAATAGTACTCGAATCCGGTAGCATTTTAGTATCCTATTACATAGTTTTTTTCCATATATTATCATATCAGTCTTTTTACCTCTTTTTCCATTAAAAATGAGTATCTGCACATCTACTTGAAAAACTGGCGGATGGTAAACTTGAGTTAGGTTAGAGAATTTTTACTAATTATTTTAGGATTTGAATCATCTTTAGTATGATTATATTAGCTAATACAATCAAAGATATATTCAGATCATAATCAAAGATATTCGTTGGATATGTATGAGTAGATTAAATAAAAGAGAGAATCTCTTCAGTGCACTTGAGACAAATCTATACCATAGAAAATCTTGATTAGATTAAAAACTAGATTAAAGAAGGAAAGAAAAACAAGAAAGTGGGTTTGGCTATAAGAAACGAGTGGGATTATTAATGATTAAAAGTAAAAGTCTTTTTGGTCTCTGGTCGGTCGACAATCCGTGTGTCCTGTGGTCAGTGTTTGTTTTTTATTCTTTTGGTTAATTTTCGAGTTTTTTTTATATTATTATGCTTTCCACTGAAAAAACAAAACATTAAGCAGCCAAATGAAATTCTTTTAACGCGTTGTTTCAGAACCTGATGAAAAACAATAATCATGACCTCTTTCTTCTTCCCCTTTAAATGCATGTCAAATTGTATTTGCTTATATAAATTTACTTTAGTCTTCTCTTCTTTGTAGAGTCGTGGCATAAACTCGAAAACTTCTTGTTTTATTTATAGAACCTAAGCAGAGGAAAAGTTCTTGTCTTGCTTACCATGTTAGATTAGGTTTAACCCAAGGGGAAAAATTTAATTAAAATTTTGAACCCTTTTTATGTTGAAGAATTTTTACTTTTTTAGACATCAACTTCTATTTTCACAGTTAGCATCTGAGAGTTTTTTTTTGTGAATAGATTTCTCTATATATTTTGGGTCCTGATCATGCTCAAATGCCAAAAAAATAGTATAAGTAAACATGATTGTGTCTATTTGACCATTCTAACTTCTAGAAAAGTTTCAAATGAAATAATTTTGTCAACTATTATTTTTGTCTCCGAAGGTGCTGACCAGAATCATCTTGCTAAAATCATTATAACCATATTCTTATTCTAGCAGTTTATAGTCAATGCCGCATGACAAATTTTCTACTATTGCATAATATTCTTGATCGCATTTCACAGATCATAATATATATAAGAAAAAATTGTATATCTTCTCAACTGTCACGATTATATAACCATATCGTAATATTTTGATATAGTTAGCACTTAGCACTTAGCACTTAGCAGAAAGGTGATGACGTGGTATTCCTCGTTTTCAAATCGCAAAAACTTTTACTCTCTAAACATGATTAAATTAAGTGGAAAAGGGAACAAAAATTCTTCTATTAACAAGTAGAAAAGGTGCACATATATATTCATTAACATGAAATCAATTTTAAGAACATAAATAAATAATAACTGTTCATAGGAAGCCAAATCCATCAGAGAAATCCACAAGATGATGACAGCTCCCCATTTAGAAGTCGTAAAAGAAAAGCAAAGAAGATGTGCAGCACTTGCAGTTTCATTTGTTTTGATAAAAAAATAGTGGTCCCATAGAAAAGAAAAAAAAAACTATAATAGATAACATGTAAATCAAAGAAAATGAAAGAAATCTCAAAATTAATATTAAAATTCTTAAACAGAAAAAAAAACCCACTAGTTTAATTACAAATTTAAAAACTAACAACAAAAAAAAACCATTAACAGTACATTATAGTTGAAAATAAATTAAGGTTACATATAATTTTGCGTAATCACTATATACTATTCTACTATTATATGGAACTAAATCATACTATATAACTTGTATTTCTCACAAACAGGATTCTCCTTAATGTGTATTTATCAAAGATAATGGCGGTCTGGTTGTACAAACTACAAACCGGTGAAAAAGTTTTTTTTTTTTTAAGAATTTATTTATTTGGAAAGAAATCTTTAATATTAAAATGATTTTATTTGTTTTAATTTTACCGAGGACACATGATATAGCACTATATATACATGTGTATGCATTATCAAATGGGATGTTTGTGACCTTTTGTCTCTTCTTCTCTAATTCTCTTTCTCCTTCCAAAAACTAAAAAATGTATGCAATGAAAGAAGAAGACTGTCTTCAAACGTTTCACAACTTACAAGACTATCAAGACCAGTTTCTTCTTCATCACCATCCACAAATCCTCCCTTGGTCGTCGGCATCTTTACCTTCTTTTGACCCGACCCATTTCCCATCTAACCCGACCCGTTATTCTGATCCGGTCCACTACTTCAACAGAAGAGCTTCTTCCTCATCTTCCTTTGACTATAACGACGGTTTTGTCTCTCCTCCTCCTTCCATGGATAATCATCAGAACCATCTAAGGATTTTATCCGAAGCTCTCGGACCCATCATGCGTCGTGGCTCGTCCTTTGGGTTCGATGGTGAGATCATGGGAAAATTGAGTGCACAAGAAGTCATGGATGCTAAGGCTTTAGCTGCTTCAAAGAGTCATAGTGAAGCTGAGAGAAGAAGACGAGAGAGAATCAACACTCATCTTGCTAAGTTGCGTAGTATATTACCAAACACAACCAAAGTAAGTCGTTTGAAACATCAAAAACTAATTTACGATTTTGAAAACCCTATGGAAATTTTTTAATTAATTAATGATTCTTCAAAATTTCTCTTTATTCAGCTATTCTTGGTTAGAGTAGTAGTAATTGTTTTTTTTTTTTCGATAAAGAGGATCTTTTTTAGGTGAAGTTTTGATAAAGAGGATCTAGTAGCTAGTAGTAATTGTTCAATTTTCAAAAATGATAAGTGCCTCAAAAATATGTCTGGTGTGTGGTTATAGATCATATATATATATTGCAATTTTATCATTTTTATTTATCTTTTTGCTCAACTATGATCGTTTAGTAGTTGTAAATTTCCAAATTTTTAAAAAATAAATGCATCAAATCGATATTTTTGGTATGTAATTATAGTTCACAGATGTGGCATTTTTGTACTAGCTAGTTATTATTATGGAGAATAAAAGGATTAAATATTTATGATTCGTTTTTGTTTTATATATATAGACGGACAAAGCTTCTTTGCTAGCTGAAGTGATCCAACACATGAAGGAGCTAAAACGACAAACATCACAGATCACCGACACGTGTCAAGTCCCAACAGAGTGCGATGATCTGACCGTCGAATCGTCTTACAACGACGAAGAAGGAAACTTGGTGATAAGGGCATCCTTTTGCTGCCAAGACAGGACTGATCTCATGCATGACGTCATCAATGCCTTAAAGTCTCTTCGTCTTCGAACTCTCAAAGCTGAGATCGCAACCGTTGGTGGTCGAGTCAAGAACATCTTGTTCTTGAGCCGAGAATACGATGATGAAGAAGATCATGATTCATATCATAGAAACTTCGATGGTGATGACGTGGAGGCTTATGATGAAGAGAGGATGATGAATAATCGTGTGAGTGTGATAGAAGAAGCGTTAAAGGCGGTTATAGAGAAGTGTGTTCATAATAATGATGAGAGCAATGATAACAATAACTTGGAGAAATCATCTTCAGGGAGTATTAAGAGGCAAAGGACTAGTAAGATGGTGAATCGATGTTATAATTAGTTAATTAAGTCAAGTCTTTATTAATTAGGGTTAGTTAATTAGACTTGCAAAATGGTATTGATTATGGGTTGGTGAATGGTGATATTAATATTTAGTATCCGTATGGTTTTTATTTTATTTATAATTGGGATTGGGTTTCTTCTTCTATGTTTTTTTTTTAATCTATGAAGAACCCTCTGTTTAGGGTTTTATAGTGATGGGTTTGGTTTATATAGTTAAGACATTTTATAGTCTTAATTAATATAGGAAATGTAAAGAGCTTGGGTTTGTATTAATTAATCAAGAAGGTTTTTTTTTTTATATCATAATCATTAAGTGCAACTAATTAATCTTTTCTTGTATGCAACTAATGTTCATAGTATATTTTTCTCCTGCAGCTGGTCAATTTATTTTCTACTATATATGACTGATACTATAAGAGTAATCGTTTATACTTCACCAGTGGCGGAGCTAGAATTTTAGTTTATAGGGGTCATATATAATTAATTATTTTTATTTAATTATATATTAATATTAATAACTTATTTTAAACTAAATAAAATATGTCTAAGAGCAAGTTTGAAAAATAGGTTTGGAAAAAAAATAGAATACGACTAAAAAAAATTAATATGACCATGATTTTAGAGAGTTATAGCCATTTTTTAAAAAAATACACAAAACATACATAGAAAATGAATTAATGCTAAATGAAAACTAAATATGTGAGGGGTCAAATTAAGGAATCAATTGATTGCATGGGGGTCATTATGAAAACTTTAAACCAAAATATCCATAAATTATCATGAAACTTACCTTAAAAAACAAAAATCATAAATGTTAGGGGGTCAATTGACCCCCCTCCCTCTTCACTACCTCCGCCCCTGTACTTCACCAAAAAAAAGAGTAATCGTTTATATATTTATCTCTATCTTTAATGACAGAAACAAATCTCTTACACATATCCATTGTTAATCTTCTGACAATCTACAACAATGTCGAAATCAGTTTTTAAATGTGCATGGGAATATATACACTCATAAAAACCTCATTTTTTCTTCATATCCGATATATAATAAATGCGATATGTCCTAAATTAGATTGATGTAGAGAGTAATGTGATGGAAGATTTGTAAGTTATATCAAGTGAAATCGAGAGGAGTAGATCGAATCTTTTTCGTGAGAAGTGAAAACTTAGATCTTTGTTCTATTTATAGAAACTTAGTTTTGGGATCTCTGATAATATTGTCTCTTTCGCCGTTACTGACTTACGTTATTTATTACATTATTACAGAGACAGTTGATACCACAAGCACATTACCTCATGATCTCGTCACTTTTGTATCTATTGGTTTTTCCTTTAGTCCAAAATTCAACGTCGAACAAAAGAAGGCTTATTAGTTTTCCAGATTTTAGCTGTTATAGACCGGGGTTTTACAATTTTGACAAAGGATAATTAGCACAATGGTTCTTGGTTTTCTAAAATTTTCCAAAAATGGTGTTTCTTGAGTCCTTACTTGGACAGCTTTAGACAAAGTTTATATACTGAGGAAAATTTCCATTAGATATATAAAATATCTGCAATATCTATTCTACTAATCTAACAGGAAAATGAAAAAAAAAAAAAAAAAAAAAAAACTAAAGGAAAATAATGACAAAAATAAAGTAAAGACTTGCAATTAAGAATTACGAGTTAAAGGGCCAAATGAGTATTTTCTAGGCCCAAACATTTCAGTATATTTCGATATGTACTTTCTGTTTCTAAGAAAAAAGTGTAGGCCGGTGGGTGATGATATCTTTTTGAGCCATGGCTAATGTTGAGGCCCAATAAGGAAAACCGTTAAAAAATGGCCTATACAGGGATCGAACCTGTGACCTTCGCGTTATTAGCACGACGCTCTAACCAACTGAGCTAATAGGCCAATCTGTTATGTATCTTCATTTCAAATATTAAGTACATAGAGTGTAGTATAAGAACTTGTGAGGGTTAGCAATAGAAGATAATCAAACAGATCGACGATGATTTTGTTAAAACAGTTCACATGAAACAAGAAAAATTTCCAAATGATGTCTATATATATACACATATATTGTATTATATAATAAATTGATAAAATAAAATCATGTGCTATGTACAGATTAGAAGAACACAAATATGAATGCACCTGGAGAGAAGCACCAAGTGTTGAAGTACAAGGAAGTGAATATATAAGTATGTGGACCAATAATGTTGAATCTTTTTAAAACAAATAGTATATAATAATAGTATCTAAAACATTGCATGAGACCGAAGACAAAAGCATGTATTTTTACATGCAGACCAAAAAAACTCTACCTCGTTGGAATTTGTGATTAGTTGGAGACAGACACCATAAGAATTATGTTCATAATTCGGAACAATGAACTTGGTTCAAAAACACATCATGCCAAACAAATATACACTGGTATGAATTAGCGGAATCATTAATGGAACTAAACGAATTAACTTAATTTTCTTTTATAAGATTTTTCATTAGCCTTGCAAAATAACTTAATATATACTATAAAATCACGATTCCAAAAAATTAATGACTAGTAAAAATTATGGAATCATTGTGAATCATGAACTCTTATGATTAGTGAAAATATTGAATATATATACATATACAGTATATGTTTTAGAATCAATATTGAGTTCTTGAAATAAAACTAAAAATGGAAATAAGAAATAGTTCACAAATGTTACGTGGGAATGTTTAGTTCAATTGGGTAATGTAAAATAAACCATTATATCGGAAACTCCATGATGTGAACATCAATAAATAAAATTTGGACCCAGATGTGAGAAAGTGACAAGAGAAGAGGACGATGGTTCTGGTCACGACGGCGACGGTGGTAGGACCGCCGTGTTGGCCCGCCGCACGTGATCGAGCCTATCCTCTTGTCTTTTTGACTGTTCAACTTCTTTTGTCTCTTCCTCCTCAATAACTTTGTGCGTCAAGATTTTCTCACTGCACATAGATTTTTTCTCACTGCACATAGACTTTATAACTCTCTAACGATTAATAGATGGATGTACAATTATAGTTATGATGTATCGGGGTATAACATTCATATATTCATATTTTCTACCAAACAATCTCTTTATTTAGATGAAATATTTTATCAGTCTTATAAAATATCTAAAAATATGTGTGGTTTAAGGCTTTAAGCTATGAAACTTTATCATTCATTTCATCTAAAAAAGAAGATTATTCAAAAACATGACAAAATAAATTATAGGTGTAGTGTAGATGCGTACATAAAACATATGGGCTACATAGTTAAAGTTGGCCGACAACAGAATTTCAATGAGACAATGATGCAGATTCAGTTTCTTCCCACCTGACACTTCGACCCCATTTTCCTACTTTCTTTATCGATAATTTTCGTGAAATAATAAATTTAGTGATCAATTATTATTATTTATTTCTGATAAAAAGTGTTCAATTATTAATAAATTTCAGCAATTAATTTAGTGCTATAATGAGGATATTTTGTGGTTGGAGGCTTGGATCGGTTGAGACGGTCCATGATAATTTACCATTTTCAACTGCATCTCTCATTCAAAAACCTTTGATACTTCAATTAAGAAAATTATTCTTGTTAATTTTAAATTCGAATTGTTACAAGTTGATTTGAGATTGATTGGCAAAAAAAATTGAACATTGATAGGCCTTAATATGGGCCCATTAGCTAAGTACATGGTTTTTAATCAGTTTTAGTCTTCAGATGATATTGACGCAATTAAAAAGAAGAAAAAGGAATTAAAATTCACTTTTATTTATTTTGAATAGAATAAATTTTTTTTTTTTTTTTTTTTTGCTAATCAATAGAATAAATTTGACGTGATATCATCCATGTCTTTCCATCATAAATTAATTTGGCACCTAATGGTCACGTCAGAGGGACCGAACAATAATTTCGACATTGTGTCTCTTGATTTATATCTATAGTCATTGAAACTTGATTAGTTTAATTTGATAATATAATAAGAACTAAGCAAACATACATCATCATAATTATAGAAGTCTTAATGTGAGTCCAAAGAACTAAATTAAAGTAGAGTTATCCCATACGTGGAGCACCAACATTACATATGTGATTAGACAAGTAACCAAAGAATATTTAATTTCAATTTTTATATTATCTTCAAATCAATTAGCTAATCATTTGAACTAGGAAGAGGTTAGTTGGTTTGACTAAAAAAATGGGAGTTTTGTTCATGAATGCATGAAAAGCAGTGTTATGCAAACTTGTACCTCTCACATGTAATTGGGTTTTATCACTTTATGAACCGAAAATAAAAAAAATAATAATAATTCCACTAAACAAAGACAAATACAAATACACAGTTCTCACGAGCAAGAAACCAGACCAGAAACCAAACTTACCAAACTAAAAGGAACAACAACTAAGTTTGGAAACTTATTATTAATGGCGATGAAAATTCTATGCATTCATAAAATTTATGAGATAGATTACCTTCTTCCACAAGAAAGAAATTTAAGTTTAACATCGTGCTCTAGTTGTTGGACTAGTTATTGTGTATTTCGATTTCTTAAGATGTAGAAAACTTCTGGAAGTTTTTTGTCGATTTTACAACAGTTAGATATGTTACCATTTTCTTATATATTTTCAATATATAACATTTTGTTTGGATTAATACGATTTCATATATTCGAAAATAAAAATTTCAAATAAAGCAAACGCTAATCACAGGAACTGATTTTGGTTAGATTATGTGTGAGATATATAGTTGAATGTACACAGGGGAACTATGGAAATGGAACTAAGGCAAAAGCCATTACAAAATTTATCCCAAACTTTTATTCGTATATTTACAAATATACCCTCCAAAAACTAAAAACATATATCCATATCGAAAGTGTTCAGCTTTCATCCCCCTAAAATTGACTATCTTCTTGCAAAACCCAAACCGGTTTCCTCTTTCATATCTTCTTGCAAGCAAAACCCAAACCGGTTTCCTCCTTCGTATATTCTTGCAATCATCGGTTTGATCCGGTT